GAAGAATTAGAGAAATGTACAGGGTAGTACAGGAAAGACTAGAACATGAATCTCGGCGAAGGGAACCGCCGATACAGACGAAGGACCCGCCACTCAAACTGAATGACAGGGTATTACTGCGTAGCCACCCGTTAGGCAGAAACAAAATCCACGATCTCTGGGGACAGGAGATATGGCAAGTCGTGGAGATGCCTAAAGCAGCAGGTGGCCCCTTTAAGATAAGACCCATCGATCACGCCAAACCGGATCGGTGGGCGAATATTGCTCAATTAAAGAAATATTGGAATAGGCAAGAAGAGCAGTTACACACATAGAAACCCAAGACAATTAGGGAACCGGAAGTTATAACGGAAATTCACATACCCATTCCGGAACCATATCACCATCAACAGAACAAACGCGATATACAAGTGGAGGATACCGGCAACAATGAGGATCCCGGTCCCTCCAGAAGCAGAGAGACAGTAGACCATCAGATAAGTGGTCCGCGGAGAAGTTTAAGGAACAGAAGGAATACGAAATTTTTTGTCAGCAACCATCAATTCTTTCATGGTCGCGCTGGTATGAAAACAGACTGTTCAAAGAGCTATAGAAGTGAACTGGTGAAGGCACCAAATGGAAAGGGTGGATGTGAATTCTAGAACTGTTTTGTGTCTCAGGAAGATGATGTAGACACAGTTGATATGTGAAATAGGTAGAACTGTCAATCGTATACGAATGGAACGTCGTGGACAGTGAGTGGAACAATAAATTTTTTTTTCTACGACTGTGCGATTGACTTTGGAGGAGTGCACCTGCCAGGCGTTGTTTGTGGTTGAAAACACACAAAAAAAGCAGGGGTGGATGTAACTGGGGTAGGCCTAACTACCAGTTACAAATGATAACGAACGAGAGGCCGCGACGCAGTTACAATCTGATGCAACCATAACAGGTGGCTTATTGGATCGGTCTGATAACAACCTCAAAGCCAACGCGTGCTATTTTGGGAAACGGTATGAGAAGTTTCAGACGAGCTGTCAACTTTGATGGATGGGATGCAGATGTTTTAGTGAATCGGACGGTACGTCAGAAACTGCGACATTAGTATTCGGATACATCGATTACAAGTATCGATTACGGAAATGGAGACAAGTACGACTACGATTTCAAGGCATAAATAGGAGGGGACGGCAGAACTCGCTCTCTTCCCGTTTGCGAGCTCTCTTCCATCTTCATCGCTCGCTTTAGATCAGTCAGTCTGTGTGACTATGTCAAGTCGGTTATAGAACGGGTTAGCCGTATTGTGTTAAGAAGGATTATAGACATGTGGATTCAGTTATATAAAGCCTAGTGAAGGACTGTTAGGGGTCAGTTGATTCAGACTATTATTGAGAAGCATTCCTGTTGATTTATTGTGTTATTATGAAGCATTTCTTGATTCATGTAATAAAGGATCAATAGCGAACCTGCATCTTGAGTATCTATACTGTGGTCAATGTTGTCTAGAATGAGTGGTTAAACTCGTTAACACGTGGCACTACAGGCAATTAGGTCTCATTACATGTGGCGTTGCGAGCATGGTAACTGTTGGCTCGTTACAATTGGCGTTGTCGGCAGGATAAATGTTCGCTCGTCACATATATATATATATATATATATATATATATATATATATATTCATATTTGCTTGTTATTTCTTTATGAAATAAATTAGATTTAGCGTCAACGATTTCTGTACTTTACCAAGTTTACATGTTCTTCATAATTTTTGTTCTTCAAAATTAAAATAGATGTAAGCCACATTTGTTGAGTTCCTCATCCACATAGCAAAACCTAGTCGCCCTCTTCCCCCCTCCCCTCAACACTTAGCGGAAGAATTCATGTATTGATGACACATTTATATCAATAATTAATATATATATATATATATATATATATATATATATATATATATATAAATACATGTTTAAGGGTGGTCTTAAGTTTTGAAATTGTGATCTTTCAATGGGAATGCCGAATGCTACTTTTTTTGTGAAAAAAATTCAATAGAATTATATCTCAAATCTGATTGTGTTTGGCAGTCGAAGTCATAACCAGAAGTTTTCATTATATAAAATGTTGACTCCGACTGTTTTTTAATTTAGCTTAACATTGCATAAATATGTCAAATGAAAAAAAAAGTATACTCGTTACTCTTTTAGAAACATTAAAAAAATGATAAAATAACATAATATGCGTTTAATAAAAAAAAAGTTAACAGCATATATTTTTATGAACCAATGTTCATTAGCATTAATCATAGTTTTTTTTTAATAAATAGCATTATATTTCTATACAGTTTATTATTTTTTATTTTTTTAAAATTATTTTTATCACTGTTATTGGTGAAGACTTTTCTTGGTATTTTAGGTATAAATAACAACATTCTCCATAACTTCAAAAAATTTAAAATATAATAATTAGTGTTTTTATTTTTTGAAAAAAAGGATAAGTAAGTTTTCGGATGATTTTTTTTTTTGCAGCATCCCCTGTTTGTTCTACGTAGTTGCTATAAAACAGTTACTATTAATTGCTATACACAACTCATATGAGATTAAGTGAAAAATAATATATAACAGTCTGTAATGTTAATGCAGCATCGGGTAAGGCTTAGATAATACTAAATTAATTTTTTAAATTGATTTATCAAAGAGAATACAACTTGAAATTACTTTAATGAGCATTTAGAAAAAGGGTTAAGTAGTAACGGAAAATAAAACTAAATAGCATTCCATAAAAGAGGAACGTGATAATCACTCTAACACATTGTGAAGACGTCTTGGTTTATATTTTAGAACATGATCCTGGTTTTAAACTGCCGATGAGCATTCGTTATTCTACATTTTATAGAATGTCGGTTAATCTAACCAAAGCTAACGTGGAACATCGAGCATATTTGGAAATTACTGTTTATTGTTTTGACACAATACATCTCAATGAGATGAACGCCGTACGCTCATATTGAGCTACACTTATATAGGCCTACCCCTTCTTACACTCTTTCACACAAACACCAACATTTGTTTACTACTCAAATTGAGTATTGTTCACCAGTAAATTTATATATTTTTTTATTAAACTTTCTCTCTCCCTCTCCTTCTCTTTATATATATATATATATATATATATATATATATATATATATATATATATATATATATATATATATATATATATATATATATATATAAAATCAGGCCATCATAAATAACTATTAGATGTTTTATTTTTATTTTTTTCGTGACAATAGAAGCAGGCAAAGAAAACGCCCATTTAATTACTATAGTTTCCCCACAAACCAAAGAGAGAAAAAGTGTTTTTATTGACTTTATGGATATCAATGGCGACGACAAAAAAGTAAAGGAGGTAAAATTAATATACAATGATTACTTTATTCACGCAGTTTCAATTCAATAAATCTTAATATTTATTCGCCAATAATTTTCCTGGATAATATATATCTTCATGTAAACCATAACGAAGTATATTAGAATACAATAAGAACATTGGTATAACAAAAGAATTACGTCCGTAAGTACAAATCTACACTTCATGGCAACTAATACCTTGGTTAATCTTACCAGTGGTCACCCATCTTTATTTAGTCATCCTCTTACATTTCCTAAACCTGCCTCATTTTTTCATTTTCTATGGAGAAACCAAGTACGAATCCAGGAAATAAATCATGTCTAGTAAAAAAATCCATTTGATTACTATTTTTATCAACAGGTAAAGAGAGAAGTATTGACACGAGAAGGGATAACAACTCCTGATGACTACGCAATGATAGCTCACAACAACGACGACTCTGTTCAAATTATGGATGATAATGTCAGCATTCTTGTCTACTTCGATACAATGTGTGCTGGGCATTTTGAATTTCTTACCAAAAATTCTGGAATAAAATAAATCTGTTTTTCCTTTCTTTAAAACCGCTGATTAGCGACACACGCACACGCACACACACACACACACACATACACACACACGCAGGCACGCACGCACGCACACATTAACGGAAGAAAAACTTCCATTAAAGTTTTTTTAATCATAGTGTAGGAAAAAAATATAGTAAACATCTATATTTTTCATATCCCTTGTCAGTGGCGTAGGCAAGGGGGGGGGTGGTTATAACCCCTCCCATGGACCCCTACCCCTATATATATATCCAATAAATAAATAAATAAATAAATATATATATATATATATATATATATATATATATATATATTATTTTATGCATAAGGAAAAATGTTTGAACCCCTCTCATGACCACTTCCTGGCTACGCCACTGTCCCTTGTAAAGGTTGTTAAACAAAATAACATTTTTAACTTAAAAAAAAACCAGCGTGTCTTATATTTATTTGTTTGCTACATTAATGAAGTACTATTTGTCGTATCTTTCTACTTTAAAAAAAAAACTTTACTAGCCTTAAAATAACAGAGCAGAGTAGGCTATTCAATGGATAATCATCAAATATAAAACATTTCAACTAGGTTTAAGAAGGACCTGGACTATGTAAAACTTTTAGATTGATATTACCAAGCTTTGCTCAATTGTTGATTATGGTAAACTACTTTCCCCTCTTGTGTTACATCCGTTCTTTGTAATATCTTTAAAAAGATTGCAGCAGAATACATCACACTTTTTATTGAAATGATGACTCTTTCTAGACCTATATGAATTAAAAGAAATCTACTTTAAAAACACTTTTCTTTCTTGCGTTACTTTAAAATAAATATAGAACATGCAAAACAGAAAATTTTGAAAACAGAAATAATGCAGATATAGATCTACACACGATAAAGATACTAATGTAATAATACACACTTGTATGCATGCGCGCACACACATGTAGCCATTATAGTAAATTATACTTATAGGCCTACATACTACTTAGGATAGATGTAGGGCCTACATCGATATAAATAGAATTTTCACTCAAAAAAAATATTTCATTCGGTAATAAAACCTAATGGTACCTAGCTATGCCGAACGTTTGCGAATTCTAAAGCCAACTGTAACCTTTTTATCTCTCACACACTAATATGTGACTAGTTTACTAACGTCTAAACACACGCACACACATATTTACAGTACACCCTACCACACACACAAATCATCGAAGCTTATTCGTTAAATCATTTCGGGAAGTTCCTATTTCTATTATTAGGCAAAAGGCATATTAGTAGTAGGAGGGGATTTCCAGATGCTATTTAATTCCCGGTGACCATTTTGTGATGATAAACAATTTGGGAAACTATCGTAAAAGGTAGGCTGCTTAATTCATTCGGGATAGAAACACGTTTATTGTTATTATATACAATTAGATTATATTAAAACAGCATACTAAATCGGGTTTACGAAAGCTGTATAAAGAATAGTTAGCAATTAAAGAATAAAGGAAAACGAAAGGTCACTGATTGCTGACCAAAGAACAAGCAATAAACGGGAAAACCAGAATAAAGCTAAGCAGTAAATAAACTCAGGTTCAGTCAATTCTAACCAATTATAATTTCTAAAAAATCATAGATCAATGTTGATTAGATAAGAAATGTAAAATAACGCTATTTCTCTTAGTTAGAAGTAATTTACAGGTCTAAATTAAGCAACGCTTTTGTCGCATTTTATCCCTCTGTCCTATTTATTTGACTATCTCCGTCACAAAAATGGCAGGTTAGATAAGAGATCTAGATCTAGTAATCGACTTTTTGCAATTAAAAAAAAATATATTATTTACTTTTTAAAATTTAAAAAAAAAGTGACTTAAGACATAGATATAATTAAATCTACGAGCTCAGTCTTTGCCGTCCGTCGAAATGAATACATCTAAATCATAATTGTGGATCAAATCATACTCAGGACAAGAAACCTTAACTTAGAACTTGAAATATTAGTTTAATTATTCATCTCTATATATACAACGTTAAGGTATCGTTACGAAAGATTATCGTTGTATATTGTGAAGGGGGGGGGGGGACTAATGACAAAATAGCAATGTCAAATAATTTGCAAATCTACTATTTAAATATAAATTTAAAATTCTTTTCAGATGGATGGATTTGGTAAGTAGCTTATTTTTTTAAATTATAAAATTTTTATTTAATTTTTTTTTAATTTTAATTTACTAATGTGATATTAAATACCATATCTCGCAGCTTTATTTTAGAGTAATTTCTTGTTAAGAAAAAATTCGACAAAATAGAAACGCTATAGGCTATCCACACCCATACACATGACGGGTTAATTTATGCATAAAAACTCTAAATGACGACAAAAGATGTCAATAATCATATACCCAAAACGAACACCATTTATTTTACTACTACTTCTAACAATTTTTTTAAATCCTGGGACGTAATGAACAAGTATATGAAAACTAAACGAGGCTTCTAACGTATAAAGTAGTCACGTGGTCATATAGATGAAGCTGCGTGAAAAACATTCAAATTCATTTAAGGACAAGTTTTGCTTGACCCCATGCTAGAGTCTGTAAGACTTACCTGGGGAGGGAAAGGTTACTAGGCATAGTGCTGACCACACAATTATCTTATATATCTAGTTCACAGAAACAAGTGAAATCAACTTCATCTGCTTACTAGGATGTCGTCCGTCGAAAATTTCCCTAGCTTGAATTCCACACATCCTTAGTTGTACAACTAAATCAATATGTTCATAAACATTGCTGTTTAATTAAGCATTAGTTTTGGCGTAGGTAGATATTAATTCGTTCATATATAAAATTGATTTGAAAAAATTGTTGCAGAGGCAAGCCCAGATCAGGCCAACGAAGTGGATGTGGAATTTCCAGTTTCAGGGCTGAAGCGTTGTAGTTTTTTAATAGTGGATATCGACGGAGTGAATCGAAAAGTTAAACAGGTTGGTTATTTTAATAGTGAGTACACCAGGCCTACACAAAAGTTTTTCAAATATAACTGATATATAAACAGACTGATATAAGATCAGCAAAAATTATGTGCACAATGAAAACAATCGTTTATATATATATATATAAAATATATGATATATAATATATATATATATATATATATATATATATTTATTTATTTATTTATTTATTTATTTATATATATATATATATATAAACTTAATTTTAAAACAACTTGATATAAAGGTGTTATCAATACATGAAGTCTTACACCAAGTGTTGAGGTGGGGGGGGGGGGGCGACTAGGTTTTGCTTTTTAAATGAGGAACTTAACAAATGTGGCTTACATCTATTTTAATTTTGAAGAACACAAAACTATGAAGAACGTGTAAACTTGGTAAAGTACAGAAATCGTTGACGCTAAATCTAATTTGTTTCATAAAGAAATAACAAGCAAAGATGAATTCTTTTATTTAGATTACTTTTTCTATTGATGTGTACAACAGATTAAGGAGGAGCTTCTAGCGACTGTCAAGATAGGCAACCATGAAGAGTATATCATGGTCGTGAATGTAGACCGCAGCAGTGCCGAGATGGCTGACGACAGACCTATTGTGGAATACTGGAACCAGATCAATAACGGGCATTTAAGTTTTGTCAGGAAAGCCCAGCTAGGCCATAAACCACAACATTGAATTGATCTGACATTTTAAAATTACATATAGTTACTTACCTTTGAGATATTAGTATTAACAGTATTGAACGTTAATGTTTAAAAACTATGTTAAAACAAAGCTCTAAAATTTAATTTGTATTAAAAGCTTTTAGTTAAATTGATTCATCTGCCTGTCTTTCTGTTTCTTTTCTTTTATATTTATTTAAATAGTAGCGTAGTATTATTTGTTGAAAAAATAATTCTTTTCTTGTTTTCAGTTCATTATTACACAAAGGCTTGTTATTAAAACGTTTTTTATGCAATTTGTTTTCTTGAACATTGTACCCACATTAAAATATGTAAAAAATAAGACGTTTTTGTGTGCATAAAAACCATTATACTAAAAACCAGGGGCGCTAAAGAGACGCCATAGCATGATTCTCTTTAGTCTGCATATTAAAAAGCATGATGCATCATTATATTTGGATTAAAGAATTTCATATATGCTAATATTGTTCATAATGGTAGCAACCCCCCCCCCCCCCACGCACCCCTAGAGGATACCCCTATGATAAAAAATGAACAGTATTTTAATAATAAACTGCTGGTATTTAAAATACTTTGAGAAAGTTTCTTACCTACAATGTCCACGTAGGTCTTCTTCATCAAATACATTTGCTGTTATGAAAAAGAGACTGTTATTTCAATTAAACATAATTATATAGCCACATTATTTTATCACATGATTTTGTGTTTTTCTTTTAAATCGTCCGTCTGAGTAATAAATGAACAATAAAATGGATAGATAAGGACAGTTATCAAAGGAGGAAAATAATAAAAGCCATGCATCCTCATGATATCCACATTCCATGTAAGTTAACCTTATCTGTAGATATAACATTCTCTTCGATAGAGAATTATCTTTATATCAATTATAGAGAACTGATCTAAGCACGAAGACATTTTTTTTACTTTGTTTGCTAACATTCTTGAAATAAATGTACTCGCCTATCACAAGATCCCTATTGACTATTTGGCATTGTGTACTTATTATTAAAGAAATTTTAAAAATATGTAATTAAATTGATGTAATCAAATTTTCAGTTATATAACAACTTTACATTGTTATACTACATTTTAAAATCACCACTACTTTCAAATATTAATAAGTTAACACTCACACTTACATACACATATAGGCCTACATACATAATTTTGAAATTTGTTGTTAGTCCGAGCCATTACTTAAGGTGTAATTTAATCTCTCTATTCAATGGAGACACCCGCGTTTACCAGCTGGGTTTTATCCTATGTTTGTTTTATTATACCATATAAATAAAATTAATTTAAAAAAAAAAAAACTAAAGCCTGAAAAAACTCAGAAATCTAATTTTTTGAGAATCAATAGTTTGAATACAGAGAACTTGAAATTAATTTTTTTTGTCCTTTAAGCCTGCACTTCAGTTATTCAAAATACTCAACAAAACCTTCTTTCCTCTATAGTGAATTGTGCAGTTTGTGTCACCCCCCCCCCCCACCCCCGCCCGGGTGATAATTTTAAAGTCTGCACAGTTATTAATAAAGTTATTTATCTATAGTCAGTTATTAATACATAAATCATAAATTGAACTGGCAAGAAAGCATACTTCTATATATTTAGCACTTTTTCACCATGGTGTCAGCCCGTGTTGTCCTCGCGACGCCTCTGCTATGTTTATACGGGATTCCCCGCTATTACATTGAATATCTACCATCTTGTTTTTTGTTTAATAAATAAACATTTGTCAAGGTATTTTAATAACATATAGAATAACTTTTTTTTATATCTAAGAGACGTTAAAAGTAAAACATTACAGTTATATTTTAAGCATAGACAATCAGACGTCAAATTAATATTCAGCACAACCTATTGGATAAATTATTCAAGCTCATTATTCTTATCTATCAATTAATCTTCTAGGTTGAGCAGATAACCGATGTGTCACTGCAGGACTGAATCGAGATTATCTCTCCAATTTAGGCTATGATCTACTTTATGTTTAGTGCAAACAATGGAATTGAACCGTAACATTTTAAGAAATTACCAACTGTAACATTTCGAGAAATTAAAAACTGTAACATTTCGAGAAATTACAAACTGTAACATTTCGAGAAATTACAAACTGTAACATTTCGAGAAATTACAAACTGTAACATTTCGAGAAATTACAAACTATAATGTTTCGAGAAATTACTAACTAAAAAATACTGTAACTTGTCAATACACTTCTAACTAACATTTCGAGAAATTAAAAACATTTCGAAATTATACGATTTATTCAATTTATTCAGTTGTGCTGTAATATCTAGTAAAGTCCATTTAATCGTAGTCACTCTCCTCTTATTCAATTTTCAGCTTTATCGGACACAACATAGAACCTACCTAATAAATATGTGGAATAGTTTTATAGGATAATATTTCGGCGCAGGGAAAAAGGGAGGGGGAAACAGTGCGTGAAGTCGCACAATAATCCCAATCCCATTATAAAACAACAGTTGCATACAACCCCAAAAATAACTTACAGGATTACATAATTACGTCACTGTTCTAACCCATTTTCACCAAAGTCTGTCTCCTCTCTGTGTGTGACGTCATTTTATCCTCGAACGCTTTCTGGTGAAAATTTTAGCCTGAATGGAGTAAAATAAATCTTCAAGGCCAAAAATGATTTTAAACTGTAAACATCAATACATGTGATAATCCATTAGGTGTAAAAAAAAAAATGAAATGGAATAATGGTTATGAAATTTTAAAATAATGATCTTATGTTTTAAAACCATATTTCAAAGTAAAATTTAGCAAATAATCACGATTCTAATGAGAAATTCATATTTTTTTCTTCGACCTTAAAACCTATAACTTGCTCACAATATAGGGGTTGACGTGGTCGAGTCGGTAAAGCTAAACCGAAAAGTCTCGAGTTCGAACCCTCGGGCAGATGAGGCTCGTTAGCTGGGGACAGCCACTCTTCTAGGAGAGACAACTCCAAAATTAAACAACTGCTGCCTTGTAGTTTGTTCATGGTTGGACAAAGGCTATGGAAGCAAATCCAAAAAGAAAAGCAGGCTGAAATCGGAGTCAATGGCCTCAATGGCGCATAACCAGTTGACACGTAACGCTTAATTGTGTTGGAGGCGTGTTCGAGTCGGCAAAAAGCTCATGGTTGATAAATTCGAACAAAGTCTCGAGTTCAAACCCACTGGCAGATAAATCTCGATCCCCTTCAACACTAATAATTAAGAACGAAGAAGAAGAAGAAGAAGCTCACAATATGAATCACAATTTATTTTAATATAACGTATTTTTCAGATGTCGGGGGGATTTGGTAAGTTATTTCATAATTTATAAAACACACACCTGGAAACTATTCGTTATAATAGAAAAAATATACCTACGTGTTTTGTTTTAGCATAATCAGTTGTTGTGAATAAAGTTTACAATTTCTGGTCTACAGAAGCAGGCGTGGAGGTGACAGTTAAGACGGTGTCTGTCGTGTTACCCGCAGTGGGGGTTAAGGTGTGCTCATTTGAAATAACGGACGATGATGGGGCTAATAAAAAAGTGGCAGCGGTAGGTTTTCTACAAGACACACCCATAATATTTGATTGTATCTTTTTTACAAAATACATCAACCCAACGTCAATTTCTTTTTAGCAGTAGCAATTGTTGGGAGTGGTGGACCATGTTTTTTTTTTACCAGAAAGGCACGAGTTATCTATGTACTTCGGTTCGAGACTGCAAGGTGTCTATTCACAAACCCCTCGTTTTCAAACTCTACCAGGCAGTGCGACATGTGCACGGGGGGGAGGGGGAGGGTGGGGTGGCAGCACGTTACACTTTGTACAATAAACCAGTGGCGTATGCAGAAGGGACCAACATGTTACAGGGAGGCAGTTGTAGGAACATAGAGAGCTCATTAAGCTGCTAAAGTGGCGATTTCATATACATATATGTATATATTTTATATATATATATATATATATATATATATATATATATATATATATATATATATATATATATATTTATAAGAGGTGTATTGGCCTATATGTAAATATATTTCTACATATACATATATATATATATATATATATATATATATATATATACATATATATATATATATATATATATATATATATATATATATATATATATATATATATATATATATATATATATATATAAGAGGTGTATTGGCCTATATGTAAATATATTTCTACATATACATATATATATATATATATATATATATATATATATATATATATATATATATATATATATATATATATATATATATATAAGAGGTGTATTGGCCTATATGTAAATATATTTCTACATATACATATATATATATATGTAGATATATTTCTATTTTTTACACACTAGGTAAAAGAGGAGTTGTTGAAAAGTGTGGGTATAACCAACCATAACAATTACATGATGGTGTTAACACAGAACAGCAACAACGGCTCGATTCAGATGAAAGACGAGGATGAAATTGTACTCTATTTCAATTCATTATCCAATGGTTACTTGATGTTCGTTCAAAAAGCCTAACCTACTTCAAACACTGGAACGAAAACGAAATAAAACAAAGGCGTTTTTTTAACTCTGTAGCTGTGTTTTTAAATAAATGTATACAACAAAAAATCGCTTCTTGAATGTATCAGTTTTTTATGTTAAAAAACACTACTAATAATCCAGCAAATGATAAGCTGAACATGATAATTCGCGTATAATGTGCGTAATAGTAGTTGGACACCCCACTAATATAAGAAAATTATAATTAATTTATTAAAAAATTTATTAATTATCCAATTAAGTCATATTTGATGTCAGATTGCATTGTCATTTTGTCCTCACCCACTCTCCAAGTTTGAAGCGAATTGGTTAGTTTAAAGTGCTCGAAATTTAGCTCGGCAGTTTCGATCCATGACACAGAGGAAGCATGTTAAAAACAAGCTTTTAACAATTACAAGCTAAACACTCATCATATACACGTTAATACTCTTCAGTTCACTGATAATGGGGCAGTTAATGGAAGAGTGAAATACAAGTCGTGGCTTCGATCCTTTGTTGATAGGCTTCTTAAAAATTATGTAAATGATGCTTAAATTAAAACTAAAGCGATAGGCAGTTATTTAAGTATTGAAACAACTCAGTCAAATTAATGATTATGGTAAGGCTAAAATTGAAAAGTAGTAAGAATAAAGCTTTGAAGGCCGAACTCGACCTTAAGATGTGTCTGGTCACGAAAAAATGATCGTGGAAAATGATTTTTTTTTTCGGTTTTAGGAACTCGTCATCGGGAATTCCCATTAATTACGTGGAACTAGTTGTTATTCGATACAGAAAAACATAAAACCATTTGTATAACACTGTACGTGGACATAATATTATAACAGTAAGTGGACACAGGACTATCGTACCACTTGCAAATGGAATATACAGATACTTCCGGTAAGGAGTATGTAGGTCTACATACGAATGTATTTTAGCAGTCGAAAATTTAGATGGTTACTGTAATAAGTGAAGTAGAATAGGGGGAGAAAAATAGTGCATAGAGTGCAGGGTCTTAAGCAAACGATCTTTTTTTTTTCTTTAAATTCTGAGGTCAAACATTTAAAATTCTCCAGTTACCTGTAGAATTAAGCCTCATTATAGGGGTGTTAGAAATTTTTTGTCTATGACGATATAAGTACGAAGAAGATGGTGGATAGTAATTGGCGAAAAAGGTCTGAACTCTTTTACAAACTAACCCCCCCCCCCCCCCACCAAAAAATGTAAAAAAAATTAATTAGAATATTGTTTAATCATTACGGTTCAATATACTGGTCAAGAAATTTAGAATGTCATATTTTTAAAAAATAATTTATTTCTATCCCTAATCCCATCTACACAGTGACACTGGGAGATGACGAGATGGTAGCGAACGTCGTGCTACCCGACAGCTCAACACAGAAAAAACAAGTCATTAAAGTCACGGACGTCAATGGGACCAACACAACAGTCAATTTCGTGAGTAAAAATGTTCTAGGATACATATTGTGTTTGAAAATTCGGTTTCATGGTGTAAAAATGCAACAAATACTTTTAAAATTAAAAGTCAAATGCATTATATAAACAATAAGTATATACATGATAATTCATTTTTGAAGCTATTATTGACTTGCTTTTGTAACTTAAAAACCAGTTTCATTTATAAGTAACTAATTTTCTAAATGCTGCCTTTATTATCAGCTTTTGCATTGTGTTTAGCTAAACATTACATTACATTTTTAATTTTGTAATAAGCGTAGGTCCACAACATTAAAATTAAAAAGCTTATGGTATGGTAGATTTATTTGTTAAATTATAGGCCCTACTGATGAGTGTGTCGCATAAAAAAATAGAGAAAACCAAACACATTAGGCGTATAGGATATAAGGACAAAAATATTTTTTTTACTAATGTATATTATTATAAAGTAGGCCCAATATTTTCGAAATATGTAAATTTCTGTAAAAAAAAACAGTATTTTAGATCAGGTAAGCTATGTACAATTGAAACATGTACGAGATATGCATATAATAATATTTGGACGTAAACTTTAAAAACTATTTTTTTGTTGTAAAATTTCAGGTAAAAAATTATATCTTTGAAGAAAACAATTTGCCGCACCCTGAGACGTACGTGATGGTGGGGGAGAGGAACGGGTCAAGGACGGTCATGGAGGAGGACAGAGACTTACTGGACTACTTTGAATTTATGACTGACGGTTTCTTTACGTTTGAAAGAAGATGACGAGTTAGTGTTATGGTTAACTTTCTCGTAGGTGAATCCTTCAAACGGAAGTTAATTAGATTTGTTGACTTTTGTCAGCGGGATCATAAACACTTTCGTAAAGTTTATCTTCAATTTAGTATAACTAAAAAGATATACAATTTATTTTTTATTTTTAAAGAAACAATTTTTTTATCTAACGCGAACGATAATAGTTTCATTACTATAATGCGTGAACGACGTCTGTAACACGTTTTTATGAAAACAGTTAACGATCACTACCACAGAGTTAGTTGTTGGTGGTTGTTGCATAGACATTCAGACATAGTCTACCATATATATACAAAATAGTTACATAGTTCTGGTTTATAAATATCTATATTATACATATTTGCATGTTTATATAGAGCTATACATTATTTGTTCTCTTTAATGTAGGACATAAATAATTATTTGCATTAAACATATATATATATATATATATATATATATATATATATATATATATATATATATATATATATATATGTATGTATGTATGTGTGTGTGTGTGTGTAGCCTATAGATAGATATATACCTATAAATTACAATACTCTTTATATTGTTATACATTATCTATGCACTTCTAAGTAATATTTAAACATACCATTAAACAATATACCAAATGTGTATTTGTGTTTGTATTACTGAATAAATTATGGAATTTTGCACGTTTATTTTAATTTCCAACTGAAATATACAACAATTTCTAACTTATGGTAACCGAATTTTTACATTACGAAACGCATACTATTTTGAATTATATGATAGACTACATGGTAGAAAGGTAATTTTTATTGGGGTTTCTTGTGTTTTTAATTAACAAATAAATAGCAACAGCATTGACTGTCTGTTCCCGAGTGTGTGTGTACCATAGTGATGAATGACGCAAATGCTAAATAAATTGTGTACACTTCACTGAAAATAAAGTAGGCCTACTACAGTTTTAATTTGAGGAACCTGAAAGAAGACTTGTAAAAAGTTTATTGTATTAACAAATAATGGCAATGTGGCTGCATTATTCTAGATCTCTGGCTGAAATTTAGAAAGATAATATTTCATGTATTTGTTTTACATGCTTCTATTGTGTCTAGGTGTATAATTTAAAAATGTATTAAATCTAGGCAACAATTCGAATGAAAATATTTATAATCAAACAATATATATTTCAAATCATACAAAAGTGTTCGGTGAAACGAAATTTACTTTTTTTGTCTCCTTGTTATATTTTCGCCGTTTGATTCTAGTGGTTATATCCGTATACAGCAATAAATATATATGATCCAATGCTCGTGGATTAAGTAAAGAGTATAGAGTATAGACATTTCAAGCTTGTTGGGTATTCTTATTTTTTTGTTTCTGGACCCCCCCCCCCCCCTCCCAAAGATGTATACAAATAAGAAATAAAAATGCCAACATTTGAATGAAAACAGTCTTTTCGTACACACACGAAACGCCGTGGTCTAGCGGTAGAGAGTTAAACTGCTAACCCAAAAAGTCTCGAATTCGAATCCGTGATCAAGTCAGTAGAATTTCCCTTAGTCCAGCCAGCTCTGATGGGTGCGTTACTCACGTTAGGTTTTTTTTTAAAAGTCGGCTGGGCATAGTGCTGACCACACTATCCCTTATTATGCCGATGTCTCTGAAGCAAATGATTTCTACTTCATCTTTCCTATATGTCTTGGGCACGAACAAGAAAAGATGTGTGAATAAACAAAGTTAATGTTTAACACACACCAAGAGGTCTGTGAACTGCGAACTCCTTTTCAATATTTTATAAACTTTTGACTGGCTTGCCAGATGTGAAGTTTCAATTTTCACAAATAGCGGCGGGCATGGAATGAGATACAAACATTTTAAAATTCGAATATTTCAGGCCCAAAATGAGTTTGGGCATATATATATTATATATATATATATATATATATATATATATATATATATATATATATATATGTGTATATATATATATATATATATATATATATATATATATATGTGTGTGTATATATATATATATATATATATATATATATATATAGGCCTATATATATATATATATATTTATTTATTTATTTATTTAAATATTACATATGTATATATAGGGGGGTCCAAACAATTATTTTGCCGAGGAAGGGGGGGGGGGGTGTTCTTAGCTCCGCCACTGGTCAAAATGTTTAACTAAAATCGAAAAGTTGATATCAGCAGGTTCTTAGATCTGAAGGCAAAGTCACGAGTAACTTAAGAAAGAATGCATTTCAATTACTTGACATTATATAATTGAATAATAGCGACATTTTGTGTAAAGTTGTACAATGTTTATTTGATTCTAAATCCAGATCTAGTAATAATCAGCTTTCTAGAAGCTAAGGATCCGGAAATTCCATGGTTTCAAAGTTTGACATAACACCGCCCTAAACAAGTCATTCCGGGAATTTATATTATAAATCGTCTTGAATACCACTCAATCGGGTAACTTCTAAAGTAAGACTCCTATATTATTTTTTGTCCATTTTTTAAACAGTATAGCTGTTTTTCTTTTAAATAAATTCTTATTTGTAGTTTAGGTTGTATTGAATTGGAAATGAGTTTTAGTGGGCTACAAATCTACAAATTATAATTGACTGATTGTCGCTGTGTTCCGTGTTTGTATACTTGTGTTAGAAAACAGTTTACATTTTATTTTTTCAGATGTGTACATTTGGTAAGTAGATCCGGTTATACGATTTTTTTTGTGCTGTATAATTTCTTTACAAAAATCAGCTGGTCGTTTTTTAAATTTAATTCTTGATTGAGAAAAAATACAAAAAAAAAAAAAAACAAAAAAAAACACGCATGTCATTTGTCAAGTAAAATAAATATCACTTTACCAAATGGTGATGATTTAGGATTTCTAAATATCATATATACAAAATAATTGTGTATGATATCCTGATAGCCTAATAACTTGATGTCAGGTGTAAGGTTAGAATTTGATTGATACATGGCTATGAATTTGATTCATAGATATTTGGTTAAGCTAAGGTTTGATTCTTCTTTTTAGGCTCCAGGAAAAATAAACTTCTTATCTAATAAGTAATAAGCTTTACTTTTTTATTTGTGTGTATCTACGTTACGGTATTTTAAGGAAAATTTTCTGAAATTATGGTTACTATGCCAAATCTAGAATTATTTTCTTTAAAATTTTCAAAATTTGGTAAGGTGAAATACCATTAAAATGAATGCTAAATTGAATATTTCACTATAGACAATTTAAAAAGTTCGAAAAAAAAATATTTAGAGTGTTTTTTTTTGTTATAAAAACTTATATAGCTGTTTCTATCAGAGTTAGTTAAAGAAGGATCAAAGATTATATGATTAATATACATATTATTTGTTGAATCGAGGGAAATTCACAAATGGTAGTTTTATTTTCAAGGTGGACGCCGTTTCCATGGCAACCATATGCTCAGATGAGTACCAGATGCATGTAAATTGTAAATATTTCCCCTTATGTACCCTGAATTAGATAAACACAAAAAGATAAAAAAAGGCTTATTAATTTAAAAGTTTTTCCCCGTTTTGTTGTTGTTGTTGTTTTTCGGAGCCTACCCCTTAAAATATGGTAGCAGTACCAGCGGTAGAGAGCTAGACTGCTAACCGGAAAGTCTAGAATTCGAATACGGGTTCTAGTCAGTAGACCGTCCCTGAGTCCACTCAGCTCTGATGGGTACCTAACTCACGAGAAGGCGGCTGGGCATAGTGCTGACCACACTATCTCTTCATATGCCGATGTCACATAAACAGGTGAACTCTACTTCACTTGCCCCGTAGACCGTCAGGTTTGAAAGTGAACTGTACTTACTTACTACCAGGAAATACAATCTTGACACTTTCAGCTTAACTATCGTAAGAAAAAAAACAACCTTGTACTGTTTTACTAAAGTGAAAATAAGAATGTATACAGAAAACACTGCCAGTCGTAGACTTAAATTATAATTGTCACGTCCACAGAGGCATTATTCTTTTGCCAAGTTTTTAACAGTATAGGTGTTTTTTACATAAATTCTTATTTGCAGTTAAGCTATGATGATTGTATTGAATTGAAAAGGAGTTTTAGTGGGCTACCAATTATATTTGACTGATTGTCGTTGTGTTCCGTGTTTGTATACACAATCTTGACACTAAAGGCACTGTCAGCTTATTAACTATCATAAAAAAAAAACAACCTTGTACTATTTTATTCAACTGAAAATAAAAATGTATACAGAAAACACTGCCAGTCGTAGACTTAAATTATAATTGACACATCCACAGAGGCAGGGAAAGATCTTAAATTAGACAACCTTGTACTATTTTATTAAAGTGAAAGTAAAAATGTCTACAGAAACATTGCTAGTCGTAGACTTAAATTATAATTGACACATCCACAGAGGCAGGGAAAGATCTTAAATTGGACGTGCGAGTCAAAGAGCCGAAAGAGCCATACGAGACCAAAACTCTCGTTGTATCTCTGGTGGATGCGGACGGCGATAATGCAACTGTAGGACAGGTGAGTTATCAGACCTGGATAAGCCATTAAGTAACATAAACACGAGCTTGGGGCATCAAAGGCAAGGAGGGGGTCGTTAAAACACGGCTGCGTAATCAGTGTTTCTTCCAGACTTTTTTCTCCGGGGGAGGGAGGCACTTGAAATTTTCGGTGGTGGGGGGGGGGGGGGGGCGGTAGACTTTTTTTGGGGGGCGGACACTGTTAATAAAAGTATATATTTTCTATATAAATTTCATTTCGTTCGAAGAGATGCCTGGAAGAAACTTTGTACATAATTGAGCTTATTGATAGGTTACAAAGTTTTAACATGTATTTTTGACATCCAAATTTAAAAAAAAATCCAATTAAACAAGACCTTCTGAGTAGTTTTTTATTATTTTATTTGAATTCTTTGTTTACGCTATACATTTAAGTATTTAAGTATCAAAATAGTCTTGAAATTATTATTTTTTAAATAAAATTAATTTAATGAACATACAGGGTAATTTAGCAATTATTTCAAGTAGGTTTGGAAAATAATAAAAAAACTCTGATTAAAATAGCGTACACGATTTTTAAAAGTTATCACATCTGTTTCTCTAAGTTTCGATCCTTTGAAGGCTGCTTAAAGGGCCGTACAATCTTATGTATTTAGCGCAATTTCCATACTGGAATTGCGATTATTAATTCGTTATTTCTGGATGGATGAATGAATGAATGGATGTGTGTCCGCAGCTTTACCGCAGCTTTAAGTCGTATCTCCTCCTCAACGAAGCAATATCGAGGACTAGTTCCAAAGCAAATATGTTAAGCAAGTTCCGAGGATGATTGTGGGCCAAAAAAATTCCCGGAATTCCTTCCTGGATTTCCCGGAAAAGCCAAAAAAACTCGAAAAATGCAGTTTTTGGCCCATAACCAGACCACTTAGCGACTTAAAACATTTACCAATCGATTTCTGCCATAATTTAGATCAATATTGCCGAAGAAAGTTTTCAAAAATATTCTTTCGTTCGGTCACAAAAAATTAATTAAGGAAATTGCGCTTAAATTGTTACTAGACTTTTTATTAACTTGTTTTGTATTTCACCAACTAATACTACTATATTTCAATGTTCACCAGACAAAGGAATGCATATTCCAAGAATTAGGAGTACAGGGCCCTGAGCGTTATGTAATGGTGATTGTTGAAGAAGATACGAGAAGGAGGCCAAAGGATGAGGAAGACATTATTAACTATAGGGATTTCCTGGAGAGCTGTGATTGGATAGAATTTGAGGAGACACTATGCCAGCTACGATAGTCACAAAATTAATTGTTTCATAGATCTGATCTTTTAATTATATTTTTTTTCCCGAATAAAAATATGAATTTGATGTATAGCTTGTTCATTTTATATAATTTGGCGAGGTGTGAAACGTGTGTTGCTGTAGAAAAAATATATTAAAAGATAGAGCTCTTAGACGCTGCCAACATGTAATATCTACGTGAAAGATGCCACAGCATACGAATATTAAGTGTATCCATATTTCAATTACGAGTCTAAACAAACTATTCATCCTATCTTTAACATTAGGGACATTGATACACTTTTCCACCAATGGCTTCATCCTAAATTTAATGTTAGGGAAATTAACACACTTTATCTACATTAACTTCATCCTATATTTAACTTTAGGGAAATTGACACACTTTTTCAACAATGACTTCATCCTAAATTTAACGTTAGGAAAATCGACACACTCCTCTTACTTACATTGACAGGTTTTGATCAAGGAGATACGTTACTTCCAGAATCCAAAGAGAGTCCGATACAAGTGAAAAAAACAAAAAAAATAATAAAAGAAAATAAAGCAACTACAGTCAAAGTAAGGGGATCCATCAACCAACTAGTCTATATATTGTTTTTATTTTTGGTTCCAGTTCCAGTGACCTACAATTTGGGATCAGGCTATGGTTAGCACAAGAGTAAGACAATGTTTACTTGATAGGGCTAATAAACCTAAAGTGTGGGACGAGTGGTCGGATGGAAGAGTTTACAACTGCTAACCCGAAAGTCTCGAGTTCGGGTCCCTGAGTCCACCCAGTTCTAATGGTTACATGACTCACGTTAGGGAAAATAAAGGAAGCTTGGCATAGTGCTCACCTTACTATATGCCGAGGTCGTTGAAACAGATGAACTCTACTTCATCTAAACATATGAACTCTACTTCATCTACCCCTTGCATCATGAGCACGAACGGGAAAAAGATGATGAATTCACCTAAGTAAGAATTAACCAGTTGGAGATCAAAGCGTCTAATTCTTGAGTTTCTGTGTCAACTGGGTTTTTTTTCATAGAGGGATTACTGGGTTTATCCATAAATGACGTCACGATTTTTTGACGATTTTTACCTACCCCCCCCCCACTCCCCGTCACACATTGTAACAAAAAGCCAGACCTCCCCTCCCCCCTCCCCCACAAATAACGACACACCTCAGCCTACAACCCTCTCAAAATTGAAGTTGAATTTTTCTAAAAACAGCGAAATTTTTATTTAAAATCTAGTCTGAACTCTGTCAACATAGAGTATTTTAATCAATTTCTCTTAGAACTTATTAAAACAGTTTTCTAAAACGCGAACAGTTTTCTAAAACGCGAAACACAGGCTAATATTCATTTTCTAACATTGCTTTTTTATAATGTAAAAGTGTGACGTTACACAATCTGACCCCCCTCCCCTCATCACACACCGATACAATACTACGGATCCCCCTCCTCCCCACGAGTGTGAAGTCATTTATGTGCTAGGCATTTTTGCATAAGAAAATGCAGGAGACATGTCATGGAGCCTGTTTAACAATAACTGACATTTTTATATACTGCTAAATTAATGAAATATTGTAAAAGTAAATTAACCTTGTTACAAAATCATATATGTTATAAAAACATATTTATAGCGCCACGCACATACTCGCTACATTTTAACTGAGAAGGCACCCGGGTTATTAATGGTTTGCAGTTTTATTACACTAACCTTTACAAGGGCATTTCGGTATTTTTTAAGTTTGGTTTGCGGAAATTTCCTGAAATCTAATTTTAGCAAAGAGAATTTTCCGTACAGAGTACAGTTGTTTCAGAAACAAAAGTATAAATATTAAATAAATTAGCGTAACACTAGCGGTAAAAACATATTTTCCATTACTCTACCAGTTTGCAGTGGCTGAGTCTTAGGAATATTTTATCGCTAACGTTATTAAAAGGTAAAAAATAAAATAAAATTAGGGCCTTCAATTAGAAAATTATTTAAATTTAATAGGCCTATTGGCCTAATGCTCACAAAATTAAATTTATTATAATTATTAATTTAGATTTCTAGTAGTTAGTAGGGGTAGGCCTACAGTTCTCTTCAATTGCATGTAACTTAAACTTATATGTATAATTGTATAGGCCTATATAATATTTCTATGTGTTTTTATGTAACTTATGAATTTAATTTTGTAGCCTGTTTTTAATTTTAAATACATGTAGGCTAACATTGTATATATTTTAGACATTTTTTACTTTTAATTTACATAGCGACAACAGAGTCCAGATTAGATCTAATAAATTAATACATTAGCCTAAATTTAAATAAATAAATAATTATTAAAATTAAAACAATTGTTTTTTTGTTTTTTTTACAGATGTCAGAGTTTGGTAAGTTTTCCAATTTATTTAATATTACTTTCAACAATGCTGAGGGAATTAAAAAACAAACAAACAACAACTTGTGTAACATATGCAATACATAATGGACTAATGATTATAATAATTGAAATGCTAATTAATTATTTCTTAAACAAATTTTATTTAGTTCTGATTACTTAGTTGCAAGCATATGTGTTGTCTGTTTTTTTGGTGTATTTAGTTACATGATACTTAATAAGATCTAATTACTTATAAAGATTCCTTAAACTTCAGTAGGCTTATGGTGTCAAGTTTACATTATAACATTTAAATTTCTAAATATTTATGCTGAGCTTTTCTTTCAATTTTTTTGTGAAATTTCTGCCTGAAGTCAAATTAGTTTTTTATCACCATACCCACATATAGACAGTATTTCTGAATATGATACTTCATTATCAACATTAACCATAAGGCAGAAGTTTCCAAAATTGGGAGGCTTGTTTCCCTTAGTAGATGTGTACTTACGCCAGGGGAGGGAAGAAACATACTGATATGAATACATAATTTTTCTATTTTAAATAAAGAAACTATCATAATATGACGTATGCATTAAAATAAATTGTAGTAAAACATATCATTGAAAATCCTACTCTCTGTATATGCACAAATAAATGTAAACATACAAATAAGATTTTTTACATCCATGGGGTGTACGTTAGGGATTTATGTCCAGGGGTTGTTTCGCTTGGTTGCTTAATGATGTTCTTACCATACGTGAAAAATGTAGTATTTGTCGTATATATACAACCTTTTCCACTATAACAATATATTAATAGCAAAATATTGAGGGGATGCATGCAATTTTGGAAACTGCTGACCGAAGGGTATCAATATCAATATCAGCTATATATATATATATATATATATATATATATATATATATATATATATATATATATATATATATATATATATATATATATATATATATATATGATTTTTCCCTTTTCCTCTGATCTGGTACATTACTGATAACTAATAAAAATATGTCCATTTATAAAAATAAATGTCACTTAACTGAATTTAAAATTGATAATTCAAGAAGTGGAAGAGGATATTGAGAGGGAAGTATTTGTACAGTTCCCCAAAGAAAACAGCCCTGTAACTGAAGTGATAGCAATGACAGACATCAATGGGCAGTCGCACACCGTCAAAGAGGTACAATTATAAATTACATTTTTAAAAATTATATTTAAACGTGTATTTGCAAGAATAAAATGTGGATAATTTATTTATTATATATAAAACATAGCGTAAAGTTATTATTTTTATATTAACTATAGAGGAGCCACACTAGTTTCTTTTGTACAGCAAAATGTTTCATATCATTCTCCACATAAACAGTTTAGCTGGTATTGGAGTCACTATTAGTAATGAAGCAATATTTCTCAACTAAACTATGTGAACTCCATGCACTCTTAAATTTAGAGTTAAATGATACTCTGTCATTAGTAGCTGCCTTAGCCAGATTTTTCTAAGTGTATCTTGGAAAGTTATTTTTAAATTATTTATGTTTAATATCTATTGTATATAATTGCCTACATCTTTCTTCATCATTTTTCTTCATTAAAAATTCTCTTCTTTATTTCAAAGTTAAAAAAAAATTATTTCAATATCTCTTTTTAAAAAAAAACATTTTAAAAATTATTTCTCTTAGTCTTAGATAAAAGAATCTCATCTTTTCTGAAATTATTTTTATGTCCAACTAGATTAAAGAATCTCTTCTTCAAAGAAAAAACTTCAACCCACAAGGATATTTGATGGTTATTCTCACAGAGGGAAATGAAGTGCTTAGACCTGGACAATCAGATGACATCAATAATTTCTCACAAGAATTAATTGCAGGATGCATAGCTTTTGAGCCTATATAGAAAACAAGTTTTTGCATTTCATTGTTAAATGTATTTCACAAGCTAACTCATTTTTGTTTAAATTCTTAGTTTGGTTTTGTAGTAAATTTTGATATTTACTAAATAAAAATATGAATCCCCAGCATACAGATTTAACCAATATATATTTATTTAAAATATACAAGTAGTCCTATAGGACTGAATGCAAATGAACATAACACACTGCCAACACCTATGTCCCATCTTTGCTATGTAGTCAGTTTCTGTGCCATTCAGTATATCTTGCGCCCTTAAAGACCACATTCTAAAAACTCACTTTAAAAAGATTGACCTTTACTAAATTCTTAGATTTTTTAAATTGATGTTATAATATAATGTCAAATTAATTTTTCAGCCATTAACACATTTTGTATATAAGAAATTGTCATTTGTTTTGCTTATGACTTTTCTGTGAACATGACAAATTTTATAAAACATTTTTTCCATTTTTTTTTCTGCTCAATTGTTAAGTGATTATGAGATTTTTTTGCTCCACATACAATTAAAGCTAATTCATATCTGCTTATTTTTTACATTAAACATGTTTTATTCTTTATAATTCTCCTACATTGTGTTAGAACATTTTTATTAAAGTTCATTAAAAAAATACATCATACATTTTTCTTATTTTAGTGGAAATAATCTAGAGCTTATTTTGATATGTTCATAATAAGTAATTAAAATTAAAAGACAGGTATATTTTCATGTTTGAATCACCTTCACTTGTTAAAAAGTTACCTGTAGGCCTACATATTGAACATTTTGAAGATTGCTCTAAGAATTGATTGCTTGGTATTTAAAAAAATAGACATTTAAATTTAGACATGAGTTTATTATAAAGAAAAAAGTTTATATAAACAATATTAAATCTGAAATGCAGCATATTGTGTTAAAAAACTATATGTAATCTACAGTATTTCACCTGTGGTCTAAGGGAAATAGTGTGCACTAAGCTATTCATAATGTCTGAATAGTGCATTTCTCTTTCCCCACATGAGGTATAATGAAGATCATTGTTAATACTGTAGATGCATTGCATAAGGCCTGTTGGCCATAATTTTACTCAGAGGAGGGGGTTGGCGTTGTCGAGTTGGTAAAGCTCATGGTTGCTAAAGCAAAAAGTCTCGAGTTCGAACCCTTGGGCAGATGAGGCTCCTTAGCTGGGGACAGCCACTCTTCTAGGAGAGACAACTCCAAAATCAAACAACTGCTGCCTTGTAGTTTGTTCTTGGTTGGAAAAAGGCTATGGAAGCAAATCCAAAAAGAAAAGCAGGTTGAAATCAGAGTCAATGGCCTCAATGGCGCATAACCAGTTGACACGTAATCCTTAATTGTGATGGAAGCATGGTCGAGTCGGCAAAGCTCATGGTTGATAAATTCGAAAAAAAAAGTCTCGAGTTCAAACCATCTGGCAGATAAGGCTCGATCGCTCCCAACACTAAAAATTAAGAACGAAGAAGAAGAAGAATTACTTAGAGGCATATGCAAGGGGTGTTGGAACCCTCGCCCATATATATATATATATATATATATATATATATATATATATATATATATATATATATATATGGTTAAGCATATGAATGCTTAACCAACAATCTCAAGTTGGCATCCTGGGTTCTTGTCCATTGAATGTCCTTGAGCCTACCCAGCTCGAATGGGTACCTGAATCACATTGGGGAAAATACAGGTTGAGATGACCACATGATGAGTTCATATTCCAGAGTCACTAAAACAGGTAAACTCTACTTGAGCTGCCACATGGACTGTTCGAAAAGGAATGTCTATTTTTTTTCTATTAATAACTTTAAATTTTTAACTGTAACAATTGTCAAATATTGACAATGATAAATTACAAAAAAATTGATTAGGTAATTATAATAATGATATAAAAAAACCCATCTACTCTACTACTAAAAATATGACTAGACCTACGTTAGTACATAGTAAGCCTACATATTATATTCATTAGGCCTATATTAGTATATTCTAGTTTTTGTACAACAAAAAAGTCAACATTCTTAATTTTTATTAACTTACTAATATTCACTAATAATTATTAATTTAACTCAGGTCTTCAAATATTTAGGCCTATATTTAAAAATTAAATTTATCACAAACGAGCAACAATATGTCAATGAATAAAATTAAATAATAAATCATTATAAGATTTAACTAAAAATTTAAAACAATGATTTATTTTTTTAATCTTGATTTTTTAACCAATATAGTAGAACAGTCCCGCTTTGTGTAGTGCAAATTTAAACATAAGGTAAGGGGGACAACAACTCCTGAATTTTGAAATAAAAGGGTATTCCCTATCTACTAGATCTATATATAGCAAAAACCACTTCGGGATTTCATGCCGTCTTTTTTTTTCAAAATGGTTTCAATACGTTTCATGCTGAACTAACAATTGTAAAAACTCATACTCGATATTATTAAATAAATAGCTTAACAAAAACAGTGTAAGTAGTTAGAGATAGGTTAACAGTTCACACTTTACTTCTGTCAAAAAAAATCATAATTATTTACATAGGCCTATTCTATTACATATAGTCAATCAATGATCTAGCTAGATCTAGAATCTAGATTTAATATTAAAAATTTATACTAGATCTAGATCCTATTTTTTAATATTTATAGTAGTATTACTATTAGTATAATTAGTATTATACTGAACTAGCTAAAGTAAAAATACTAAAGATAATTGAATATTAAACCACATTTAAGGGTTACATCAATAAAAATGAAATAAATATAAATAAAATAGGCCTAAAGGTTTAACAACAATGTTCCAGATACCTCTCCAGCACATTACTACTGACTACTGCAGCCGAATTGATTACGGCCGTTAAAATGATAGATTACCAAAAAATGTATAGGCCCCCTAAACATTAAGCAGTTTTGGGAGAATTTTTATACCCGTGTCTGACAATAGAATCTTCTTTTTAGAAAGGGGTCTAGGTTACTGGTAGTTAACTAAATACACACATTGCTGGCTAATGTCAATGCTAACCCTGTCCCAGAGGCGTAGCGACCCTTCCCAGCGCCCGGGGACAAACTTTTCAATTCGCACCCCCCATCAAGATTTTGATTTGCACCCCCCCCCCCCGCTCAAACTTTCAATTTGCTTTGCACCCCCCCCCCCTCAAGATTTTTATTTGCACCCCCCTCAAACTTCCGATTAGCACCCCTCTCAACCTTTCAATTTATTTTTCCAACCCATTTTGGCGCCCCCTGAGGTCGGCGCCCGGAGACATATGTCACGCCCCCCCCACTCGCTACGCTACTGCCCTGTCCCTAACCCCTAGACCTACCATATGCCTAACCCTAATTTCATAGTAATTTCTAACCATAAAATTAGTCGAGATTACAATACTACTAACAACCCAACACACCTATTTTAATTTTATGGAAGAGTCTATTATCGGACATCAGTATCTAAAATCATCCGCAGTTTCTAAATATTACCAACATTCTAATTAAAATGTATCAATGTAAGTAATGTTCAAGCAAAGGTTATGCAATTAAAACTTGCTTATCAAGGTAGGATTGTGGGGTAACAAATTAATTCAAATTATAGTTTATAGCCTAATGTTTCAATATAAAAAAAAAAGTTTATAAGCAAACACATCATTTACAAAAAATATTTTAGTCCTCTTTTAAGTTATTTAAAATGAGTAATGATTTGAACATCATTGAATACTTAAAATATTGATTGATATTTAATATGTTAAAGTAGCTTTTAATATTTTTCAGATTGTGTGAATATTTTATGAAGAATGGTTAGATAATAATATTTTTCAGATTTTGGGGATATATATTACGAAGAGTGGTTAGATTATAATATTTTTCAGATTGTGTGAATATTTTACGAACAGTGGTTAAGTTGTCTTTCTGGGTATGTCTGGACAAGGAGCTATATCAGCAGGTAATATTTTCAGATATTATATCAGCAGGTAATATTTTCAGATATTATATCAATCGGTAAAATTTATAAAAATACAAAACAAAAAACACCATTTTTTTAATACTATATAAACTGGACTATGTTTAAGTAATAAGTATAGACCTTGGAAACCTTTATAGTTTATAACATGTAAATCATTTATTGTAATACATACAACATCAACTGATTGTTGGACTTAAAATTAACTTTTTATGTATTTAAGCAGGTCTTGTTATCAACCAGTTTAAATTTTAAAAAATATATTTTGTTTTATATCGTTTTAGGAATTGTCCATAAACGAAATCACACACCTAGAGGGTTGTGGGAGGCATTCGGATATTAAGGATGATAAGTAATGTGTAGAGGGGGTGGGGGAGGGGTCTAAGATGCCACACTTTTGCTTTTAAAATTTAGCCTTCATTTAGAATTTTTAACAGTTGTTTTTTTTGTAAATTGTAATACAACTTGATCCATATGCTCAATTTTAATGTTTTAACAAACTGCTGTTTAAAATAACAAATATTGAAATTTCAAGGGAAGGGGGAGGTGGTGATGGAGTGACTTACCTTTATTTTATTAGGAGGGAGAGGTCTGACTTTTTGTGATTTCAATTAATCATGACAATTTATTCAAATTTTATTTCAGAGGCTGAGTGTGTCAATGTAAAAATGAAAGTTATTTTACCCAATGGGGAAGTAAAGCCGGATGTTTACATCAACCCAGAGAATAAAGTATATGAGGTTTGTTACTGCATTCAATTTTTATAAAACAAGTATTTCACTTGTATTAAATTCATTTTAAAATAGTTTTTCTCTCTTCTATGTTAAGTATTTAAAATTATTTCTTCAATATTTAAATTATATTAAACGTAAAGGTTAAGTGATATGGAATCATGCCTAATACAAGTATTTAACTTGTTTTAAAATCATTTTAAAATTGTTTTTAAAAAAAATGTTCTCTCTCCTATGTTAAGTAATTAAAATTATTTAAATATTTAAATTATATTAAACTTAAAAGTTTAGTGAAATGGAATCATGCTTAAGTATTTATATAACACAATAATACTACTGTACTGCACTGTGTCAACTCAGGTTCATATCCCTTACAATATACCCAACCACCGTAGATTAATTTGGTATAATATTTTTCAGCCACACTGATTTGTTCCTACCAGCCACCACATTTACAGCAGGGGCGTAGCGAGGGGGGGCGGGGGGTGCGGACCGCACCGGGTGACACCATTTAGGGAGGTGTCACCAAGGCAAAAAATAGAAAAATATATAGAAAAAAACTCGAGGGGGGGGTGCAAATCAAAAGTTTGAGGGGGGGGGTGCAAATCGAAAACTCGAGGGGGGGGGTGCAAATCAAAAGTTTGAGGGGGGGGGGTGCAAATCGAAAATTTGAAAGTTTGTCCCAGCATTAAGTGCCGCACCGGGTGGGGTGACACCCGACCTCGCTACGCCACTGATTTACAGTACCACCAAATCTAGATTTGCAGCTTATTTATTCCACAAATGCTAGTGCAAGAAACTAATGTTTATTATATATCAGCCTGATTAACTAAATCAAATGTTTTTAAATATCAGCGAGCCTCCCTCAATATCAGTAATTTATTAAAAAAAAAGAATTAAAAACAAAGTCAAATTAAAAACTAAAATGTAAATTAAACTCTTTAATATTCATTTCCGCCTCTAAAAAACATGATAAATCACACCTTAACCCCATTCACTGTTACATTCAAAGCAATCAGACTGAACATTAAAACCAAGCTTTTTCATGTAATTTGCTAGTGTTCATTATGCCTTCTATTATCTATTAAATCTGTTTTTTTATGTGTTGTATTTAAATAATTGTAAGTTATCTTATCCTGATCAATAAAACATTATATATTATTATTTATTAAATCTGTATTTTGCATGTGCTGTTCTTAAATATTTACAAATTATCTTACCCTTATCAACCAAACATAATGTACTAATATTTTTTTGTTTAGGAGAAAGAAAACATATTAAGAAACAGCAACATACCATATCCGAATTTGTACGTGATGATATTGATGGGAATAGGCTCAGCTAGGACAATTTTAGAGGATAAAAAAGAAATGGAGTTCTACCTGAATCAAATAGCATCTGCAGATGAAGTATACTTGGAAATAAAAAAGAAAAGGTTTGCCGATTTTATTATAATTTTACACATTTTAAATATAAGAATTTTCCAGACTCTTTCTGGCAAAGTAAACTATCTCTAAATACTGGGGAAAACATTAAGAACAAAAGTTTGGAACATTTTTTTGGAGATTATACTTTGCACTTTGTTATTATTAATGTGTAACGCTACACAAAAAGCGGGAGTGATCTACCCTAAACTTTCTCAAATATTCTTATATAACACTATAGGGATGGCAGCTTGGCATATATATATGATTTTTAATCAATTTTTAAATAGGCCTTCTTAAACTTTTTAAAATAGAATAGAATCTTGTGATAAAAAGAATTGCGCACCTAGTGAACGGCAAACAATATGTGTATAAAAGTGCGGAAATTAGTACTTTATAAATTTCATCTGCATTTTTTTTAAAAATCAGAAATAGCATAAAGTACTACTTCCGGTTCATGGAGATTACTCAAAATTTGTCAGAAGACAGAGATTTAGATCTTTTACTTATAAGCGAAATTTCATTTATCCATCTGAAACAGTACTCAAGTTATAGGCTTTTGAAAAATCAATAGTAGATTAAGTTCTACTTTCAGTTACCGGAAATTGATCAAAAGTTGATAATGAACTACAAATTTGATGTAATACTTATATATGAAATTTCATCAACCTAGCTGTAATGGTACTCAAGTTATCGTTTTCACAGACACTCACACACACATACAGACAGAATTGCAAAGCCCATTTTTTCTGACTCGATTACGAGTAAAATGCCCAAATTTTGATTAATCCAGATTCAGAATTTTTGCCCGATTTAAATAAGTCCTCTATACTCTGTATATGATGAAGTACTGAGAAGTAAAATGGTGAAAACTGTTAAAATTTGTTATTTTTGTGCACCATTACTACTACAATACTTCCTGTATACTCTGTATACGAGAAAGTAAAAAGTACCACTGAGACATTAATTATTATTCCTTACAGTTTAAAAAATAAGTACCTGTTACACCATCACTTCACAACATGTGTAAAACTAATGTATGGCATGTTGTTGCTATGTGTTTGAAATGTTATTTTAATAATTTATTCTTTATTTTTAGCTCTGAAATAGAACGGCCGCCCAAGCCTGTCAACGCAGAACTTTTTGGAGTGCACCTAAAGTGAATGCTGCACAGCCATAGGAGTTATATATACAGTCAAATATAAATGATTTTTTTTAAAAAATGAGTCTTGTTTGTGATTACATGTTAGCACTAATGTTTTGTTTTTGTTTAAGAATTGAAAGAGATTTTCCATTCATTGTTAATACTTTCCTCAGTTGTACTAATTAATATTATTGTTTATTTATACACAATTCTAAAATAAATCAAAAGCAACATAAAGATTAGTCTTTATTATTCCTAGTAATATTTTACAACTTCTAAATATTCAATATAAGTGGATAAAGCAAAGAATTCAAATTTTAGGTGTAAAAATAATTACACAAAGTAAAATATCTTAGCTAATATAAACAAATGAAAAAAATAACATGTTTATACAAAACTAACTCAAGATTTTATTTTAAAATAATTTTGTTTTAGTTGAAGAATTAAAATTGATTGTCCATGCATTATTGATACTTTCCTAAAGTTCATGGTTGATGATATTGTCATTTCTAAAAAAAATATGCAATTTTTAAAAATCAATTAATAGTATCATAACTCTTTAGGCTTTATTATGCCTAGTAATATTATTTTACAGCTTCTGAATATTCAATATATATTGATGAAGAAACAAACTAAAATTTTAGGTGTAAAACTAATTTTACAATTTAAATTAAGTAAATGTAACTTAATGAAAAAAAAGTAATAGATTTAAACAAACTCTCAAGGTTTTACTTAAAAATAATTTTTCAGAAACAATGTAAGCCTAAAAATAAAGTTCACTTGTTGAACCTGGTTGTCCATGGGGCAGATGAAGTAGAGTTCACCTGTTTTAGTGACTTCAGCCTAATCATGAAAAAATTGCTTGAAAAATGTAAGAGAAACATTTAATGAATGAAAATGTAACATATCAATACCAATGAAGAAAAGCTGACAAAAGTGGGAAAGAAAATGAGTATGGCCCAACATGTTGTAGAACAATAAATAATGATAATAATTAAAATATAAATATTATTATACTTAAATCTCCTTTTTAGGACATCTAACAGCTTGATCTGTTAATTTTTTCCACCTATATAATATAAACGGTTCCCAGAAAGAAGCACAACGGAAAAAAGTGCAAAAAAAAAGCGCAACAGAAAAAGCGCACACAGAAAAAAGCGCACGCAGAAAAAAGCGCAAATAGAAAAAAGCGCAAACAGAAAAAAACGCACACAGAAAAAAGCGCACACAGAAAAAAACGCAAACGGAAAAAGCGCAAACAGAAAAATGCGCACACAGAAAAAAGCGCAAACAGAATAAAGCGCAAACAGAAAAATGCGCAGCCAGAAAAAAGCGCAAATGCAAATAGCGCAAATAGTAAAAAGCGCAAACAGAAAAAAATGTGCAAGCAGAAATTTCTGCACACAAAACAGTATCGGCGACGGTCGTTAGTTTTGTAAACTGTACTAGACATCTTTTCTTGTAATGAAAATTCATTGACATATGTTACATCTTTTGCGACAGCCTTAATTAGTGCGCTTGGCTTGTATGAAAACTAAATTCGAACTAACTCAATTACATGCTATTTATTTTAACATGACAAGGTAAGCGTCACCCAACTGTTGTGATGTGAGGACAGGTTTGACAATAAACCAACAAAAAGTCTGTATATAATTAACTTCTTTATTGTTTGAAAGTACAAACGAGACCTAGACTGCCTATTAAAGAATGGACCGCCAAACTTTCCTAACCCCACCATTTATAATTTATACCCTACCTAGCCTCTAAATTTCCTGCGCTATTTGTCACTTCCCTCACTGAGTTTTGATAGTCACATGAGTCAGAGTTGATTCTGTCTAGAAATACCACAAGGCAATTTATGGTAATCTCCAGCTGTTTGAGACAACTACCAAAATCATTGACAATGTTCTTTAGTTACATCCATTGCAAGCTTCTTACAAGGGAGATTTTAAGGGGAGATTTGACCAGTGTTTTTTATTTATTGTTAAAACCAAGAAAGTTTTGCACTGCATTCTAAAATTCAGAACATCTCTATTCACTTGGGCTTGCTATTTTATTTTTTAAAAATTGTTTTGCTTCTTTTAAAGCCTTTTTTGCCTTGAAGCCTACTGTAAATGAAAGTAAATTCATCCCTACTCTACTAGCTGGGGTATGCTTAAACAGCCAAAACAACCAGAATAGTGATTGTTAATACCAAATTATTCCTTGATTCTAGAACCTATGCCTACGTCAAATTTTTAACCGCCCCGCGAACCCACTCCTACGTAGGGCCCATTAATCCGATCCATGAGAGTCATGTTTCTATTTTTAATTTGGGAAATTCCATATATATTTCCGAATGTATTTATAGCTAGATCTAGATCTAGATTTCTAGAGCTAGACTAAAAAAATGGCTGATGACTATGGTGATTAATATTTTATTTTAAATTTTAGAGATCTAGATCTAGGTCTATTGGCTATATTAAATACTTATACTTAGGCCCTATACAGTTAAATATATCTAATTTTCTAATCTAGTCTGAGCTCTAAGTCTACTCTAGACTCTAGTACTAGAATCTAGATCTAGAATCTAGTATTTTACTCTAGTAAAATGTAAACAGTCACTAAACAGTCTAGTGAGTCTAGACTTGTGTAGTCTAGAGTAGTAGTGGTAGTCTAGTTACTAGAGTTTACTACAGTAGACTAGTCTAGCTAGAGTCTAGAGTACTCTAGTCTAGAGTCTAGACTCAGATCTAGAATCTAGTCTACATCTCTAGTAGTAGAGTTAGATGTAGAATTCGTGATCTAGATATCTAAAATATTTACTAGATCTAGATCTAGATCTCAAGATCTAGTTAGTAGTTACTAATAAGATCTGATCTTAATAGAAGATCTTATTAGAAGATTCTATTATGATTATTATCGGACACTGGTATAAAAATTCCCCCTAAAAAGGTTTCAAAGTTTCATTCATGTACCCTTTTTTGGTAATCTATCGCGTTTCATTCATGTACCCTTTTTTGGTAATCTATCGCGTTTCATTCATGTACCCTTTTTTGGTAATCTATCTTTTTAGGTTGATCTCTTCGTAGTACTTAAAATCGAAAGAGGTTAATAGTGTGAAAAAAGGTGATTCATTATTTAATTATTAATAACTAAGCATACTGCCTAGCTTTGCTTAGGTTTTAAAATAAGGAAATTGAGAATTTGAATGATTAATTAATTGGTGATTGGCTGTTATGTGGATTGCTTAGGGCCTATGTTTAAATAGTCTTGAGTAATTTTATGTCATGCAAAAATAGGTGGAGTATTCACAAACTTATTACCCGCAAGGTTATTAGAACTGCAAAGGCTTCCTTAACAGTATAAAACAAAAATTAAACTAAATTCAGTTTCGAGATTACTTTTTACAACTTCAGTACACTACATACTTTAAATAATAACAAAATATCGTTTTTAAACAAATGCTATACTTTGTAATTTTTGTTTTTTCTTTTAAATAGTATACGAATTATTTAAAACATATCACTTTAATAAGTTACCTCCCTTGTATAAAGACCAAATGACGTAGTTTGTTTACGTTTCCACAAACAATTGCTTATATAAGAAAATACGGCATCTGGACGAATCTAGCGACCGTAAAAAGTTTTTTCCACCGGAAATAAAGTTTTTTTCTACCCTCCAGGGTCTGTCTACGACCTTACAAAATATAAGGGGTTGTTCGTCAATTTATTTATAATTATCTAATATAAGGAGAATTTCACTCGCGGTCATTTTTTTGCCCTCGTCGAGGGCTTTGAGTCTGACTAACAGTTTTCTCCATACGGCCTAGTCATCTATAGAGGTGCATTCCAAAAATTAGCCAGATGTACCGAGGTTAAGTATCCTAAAATGTGTGTTGAAATTACTCTGTTTTTCATATAAAATACAAAGATTATATAGGGAAATATGACTGGTCAGTTTTGACCCTTTTGTAGATTTTTCCCGGATATGGCAAGTTTTTTCTGACACCCCTAGGCGTTCTTCTACCACCTGACAAAATATCAAGGGGGGTCATTTGGCAAAAGTTTTTTTCGTAATATAGCTCATATAAAGAGAATTTCACTTGCGGTCACTTTATAGCCCTTGTCGAGGGCTTTGAGTCAAACTGACAGTTTTTCCATACGGCATGACCATTTATCTATTAGCATGCAAAAAATAAGCCTGATGTACAGAGGATAAGTACCTTAAAATCGTTGTAGAAATTATCCTGTTTTTACTTAAAATTACAAAGATTATATAGGGAAATACGACTGGTCAGTTTTGACCCATTTCTAGATTTTTCCCGGATATGCAGAGTTTTTTCTGACACCCCTAGGCGTTCTTCTACCACCTCACAAAGTATCAAGTGGGGGTCGTTCGGCAAAAGATTGGTTTGTAATATAGCCCATATAAAGTGCAGGTCAGTCAAGGTCAGTTTTGACCCTTTCTCCAGCACAGGCCTTCGTGTTCTTTTGCCCCAAGGGAGTAGCCTGCCAAATTTGAAGCGCCTGTGGTGCTGGATAGTGCCATATTGGGCACCCAACAACTTTGCTTTATATATAGAAAATTATGGCTTTAATGTTAAATAAAACAGATTGTGATATATTTGTGTCAAATGTAACAGATAATTGAATAATAAACCAAAATCTATTTCTTAATAGATCTACATCAATATACTTTAAATATAGGCCAGAAATTAATTTTAAACAGCAGTTTCTGAGAGCAAGTTTTTCCATATAAACAGCGGCCGTCTGTAAATTAGAGTGGTTTCCATGTAATCTCTAACTATAATTTTACACACAAAAAAAAAACAAACTTAAACTAAGATGGCTGCTTAAGAAATTCAGTAAATGAGCTTGGTTGCATCTGATAAAATCATCGCTAATTTTTAATTATTTATTGAAAAGTTTTAATAAAATTGTTTAAAAACAAGTACATAAATGAAGCTTTAAAACATTTTTGTAATTTTAAAACATAAATCCTCCTAAAAATGTGAAATAATTAGGCGTACTAAAATTTAATGAGTCACATTTCTTTAACATTACTAGCCTCTGCCTTTTTTATGTACTTAAAATGATATATTACCTTCAAATCTAATACTGCTAGACCAGTGGCATAGGCAGTGGGGTTAGGGACCCATGGACCTCTAAAATGAATAGTATTCAACGTTAAGTTGCAGCTTTTGACTTGTGTCTATATTATTTAGGGCTTAAAGACTAAACACTAAAGCCTAGCAGTCTTTAGAACTACAATGTATATTATTGTGATGAGAATTGCTTATAGAATTTAGGTACGATTTTTATTATCGCGCTATATTAATGTTTAATAATCTGGAATGCAGTTAGCCAAGGGAAAGTTGGCCAAGGTTAGATCAGTTACGGAGTGTCGAATGGGGAGGGGTGGGCTACGTGGGTAGGCCTTTGTTGTCTAATATTATTGATAACCGGAAAGCGTCTAGAAATTTAAAAAAACAAACAAACAAAGAAATTTATTAAAGAGCTATTTTATTATTCGCATAGTGGTTCTATAATGTGTATGTTTTTACTACTTCAAACGATTTGAAATTCATTTCACTGATGACAGATAAAACATTGAAACTGAAAACATCTTAATTACCTGATTTGTTTTTAAAAAGATAAATAATACTGAAAATGATAAGGATGGCAGTGGAGTAGGCAAGGGGGGTTAGGACCTTCGAAATGACAATCCTTTATGTTAAGTTACAGCTATTGACGACGATGGACTTGTGTTGCTATCATTTAGTGGTTAAACAACAAACAATCAGGGTCGCAATAGGCGAAGGGAAAGCTGAACAAGGTTATCAGTTAAGGGGTGTGGAAGGGGGTGAGGGTGGGATGAATATTGGTAGGTGTCTATTATAAAATACTACCCGATGCGCATGTGACAGGAAAGCTCGGGCTTGACTCACAATTGTTGACGCAAAACTTTGTGTTGGTAGATAGAAAAACTGGGAAGGTGGTTTAATAGAGATGTAGAGCCAGGAACCTACAGTAGTCATTAAATAAAAGTCCACAATAATCTACCTCCTCTCTTATTAAACAACAAATGCAGAACAAAACAGTTTCTTACAGGCATCTCTTTATGCACTGCCCATCTCAAAGAAAGTCCACCGCCATGTGAATGAAATAGATATAATTTATTATTTATATGTAATATAGAAATATATGCTTTTAACCAATAATGAATATAACTATCAATCTCCCCTCAAAGAAAAATGTCTCAAAGAGACAGAAAACAAATGTATTTACAGCAAAAAAAAAAATTCAAATTTTAATATCAATAGAGCAAAAGTAAATGGCTCTAAAAGACTGCACAAATAAAATAAAGCTACATGAAAATGATAAGAAGAAATGACCAGTCTTTACCAGAGTTTCTTCCAGGCATCTCTTCGGGGGCACCCCCCCCCCCTCCTGAAGAAAGTCTACCGCCCCCCCCCCCCCCACCAAAAACAAAATGGAATTTATATAGAAAATATATACTTTTGACAGTGTCCGCCCCCCCCCCCCCCCAAATTTCAAGTGCACGCCCGGAGAAAAAAGTCTGGAAGAAACACTAGTCTTTACATCTTGGAAATGTTATACCCAGTGAAGGTGATAGCAACCTAGACATTCATTCTAGAATCAGCAAGGCAAGAAATGCTTAAACTGACTCCAGCCATTCAGGAATTCTTATGCACTGTCAAGAGACACCAAGCAAGGAGTCGTAGGCACAGGCATCAATTTGCTTTACTGTATGGCTTACCAACTAGCAACATCACCAGACATGCACATGGAATTCCCAAGAAAAGAGGAAAGTAGGTAGGCCAAAACAAACTTGGAAAATGTCAGCTACTGTTAGTGAAGCAGAAGGAGCCAGAATATCATGGACCCAGCTTGGAGGAATCTCCCAGAACTGAGTATTATGGAGAGGTGTGGTTGTATTTCTTACTCCACAAGGGGTGCGGAGGAATGATGATGATGATAAATAGCTCAGGGGCATGGAGAGTAACAAAGACAATAAACTTTATTATCAGGTCTTTAAAATACAGCTTGAAGGTTCTCTGGTCTGTTCAAACTTCAAATCTGGGATATGTGCACACAAATTATTTAAGTTTTGTAATTTATGAAAAGGCATTTAAATTCTCTCTTAAATGCTTAACAACAGTTTTAAGAGCACCACTATAGTATTTCCCCCTCCCCTCAGTCATGTGTGATTTAGTATTTGGCATTGGTTGCTTAGCTGTATCGCAGGCCTATTAAAGATTAAAGCTAGGATTAAAATTATGATTTAGTTTAAGGATAATGTTTACATGTTTCTACAAAGATATTAAGCAATAAAAATAAATACAGTATTTACCACATATACCATGTTTATACTTAAGAAATCAGTAATACATGTTGTCTAACTTTCTTAAAATAAATATAATTATGTAATTGTTTGAACTATTTTTCTTTCAGAAGGGGAAGTATGTTGTATCGAAGTAGCAAAATTGATCTTACCAGGGGAAATTATAAAGACAAGAGTTCTTCTCGACCACACAAAAACAGTTTGTTCAGTAAGAAAATTTTCTTGACAAGGTTTAATTAAAAATACCTAATTACAAATAATTCTGATACATTTTAACTATACATAAAGTACATTAAGTGATTAAAAAAAAAATTTAATAGGTAAAAAATTGTATTTGACTACTGTCTATTATCATCTTTTCTTGTTTGTGCCCAATATTCATGGGACTGATGAAGTAGAGTTCATGAGTTTCACTGACCTCAGCGTATGTAGGGATAGTGTGATCAGCATTATGCTCAGCCACCTCTACTTTTACTAATGTGAATCAGGTACCCATCAGAGCTGGGTGGACTCAGAGACAATTTACTGACATGAACTTGAGAATCAAACTCGAGACTTTCAGGTTAGCAGTTGGACGCTCTACCATCCAATCACACGGTCCCCATACTTTTTAAAAAATGAATCTAAAATTCGGAATATTTAATAACTGTTTTATTTACGTTAATTTAGGAGAAAGAAAGGCTGTTGAGGGATGCACAAATCGACTACTCAAATAAAAAGTTTGTGATGTTGGCGATAGGTACCCAGAACTCAAGGACAGTTTTAGAAGATGACAAAATAGTTATTTCTTATGCTGAATGTCTAGGAACAGATGTGGAAATAGAAATTATAGAATCTAGGTAATGTTTTAGCATTCATTGGAAATCTACTCAGTGCTTGATAAGTAACTTATTTATACAAGAAAAAATATCTCTTTAACTTCTTCAATTTTTATTTTTATTGAGGGAAAATAACGTTGTGAAGTGAGTTATATTTACAAGGTTGACGATGCTTGATAACATAACCAAGTGATTGCTAAAAAGTTTTTAGATGCAATGTTGGTTTTTCAATTGATTTTATAGTACACCATTTGTCTGACACATCTGATTGGATTGGGCCGCCAAACTTTCCTACCCCCAACCTTTTATACCCCACTGTGAGGGTGGGGGGAAAAAAGCTCCACCAAATGTGAGGGTGGGGGTGAATGAAGATGAAGAGAAGATCCAACACACAGTCCAATTCATTGTGTTCTATAATTCTTTATTTACGCAAATCAATTATTCTACTTCAAGCTAACTAGCCTATACTATATGCTGCTTACTAATACTATGTGGTCAGCTGACCGTCCCACATGACCGGTCAGCTCCTTTATTTCCATTGGTCTGTTTAGCTAACTAAACTACAGCCTGTTTCTACCATCTACCCTGAACTAGTAGCGGCATCACACCCACCTACCATATGCCTTTTCCCGCTTCAGTAAATTTCTTACAGAAGTTGGGTACATTTATATTTATGTTTCATACAAAATACCACTCAGACTTTTGTTTTAGGATAATAAATATAAACTAAAGGGACGTTATTCTAAATCTATGCTATTGTTTACACCACCTCTTTTATAATAATCTATTAAATGCATTCATAAGAAAAGGTTTGAAAAATTTTTTTTTCCATTTTCTGTGATATTAAAATAATATTCTAAGATCTGTATTACATAGTTTCCTAACATTTTATTCATTTTTAATATATGCTATTATTTACACCATCCTCTATTTTAATAATCTATGAAATACATTCATAACAACAGGTTTAATAAAAAAAAACTTTTTTTTCCTCCCATTTTCTATGATAATAGAAAGAAAGTTTTCTAACATTTTATTCATTTTTAATATATTCTAATATTTACACCACTCTCTATAATAATAATCTATCAAATACATTCTTAACTACAGGTTTAATAAAAAAAAAATTTTCCCCATTTTCTATGATAATAGAAAATATCTTAAAATCTGTTTTAGAAAGTTTTCTAACATTTTATTCATTTTTAATATATTATAATATTTACACCACTCTCTATTATAATAATCTATCAAATACATTCTTAACTACAGGTTTAATAAAAAAAATAATTTTTCCCCATTTTCTATGATAATTAAAATTATTAAAACATTTTTTCTAACTTTTTATTTCCCTTAGGCCTGGACTTGAGAACACAGGAGTAACAGCTAAACCAGAAAACTTCGGAGTGTCAATGAAATAAGATTATGAGATGCATAACATTTAGCTTAATTTAAAAAAAAAAATAACATACAAAAAAATAGAAAAAAAAAATTAATAAAACTTCTTGTAGTGTTAAAAAAAAGGATTTAGCAACCAAATATTTGATGTTTTAACTTTTAAATTATAAATCTGATTTGGTATAATTGTGTGAAATCTAGACAAAACAGTAACAACTTTAAATAAACTTTAAAAAAAAATAAAAATGATATATGTGATATTATGGAACAAAACTAAATATTTAGCATTTTAACTTTAAAATATAAATATAAATATAATTTGGTAGGCCTACAAGATGTAAAATAAAAAATTAAAATATTAAAGTGATAGACAGTAGGGTAGTAAGAGCAGTTGAGACTTTTGGAAATCTTTTTGCTTGAAGGTATTTATGGAATGTTATGAACTTATTTATGTAAACATATGGTTAGTTGTATTAAAAGAGGTTTATTAATAATTAATGTATGAATGATCAATGTTGCTGTGTGATTGAATGAACACTGAGACCATGAGTGTAATAAATGCATAAATACTTGTATGGCTAAATAATGTAAAAATATTTTTTTTCTTATTCTGAATTTTAATTTTTCTTTCATCATGTTACATGATTTATGTATTTATCATACATCGCAAGACATAAAATAATATCATCCAACACTCACAGTTATAGTTTTTATCCAAATGAGCAGTCTTCACTTGCTATTTCTAAGGCTGAGCAATTATAAGTTACCTAACAATACTAATAACTGACCATTTTATTTTCTTGATATTTAAACTTTGATACATTATTTTTTAAATTGTTTGAATATTTAAATAAAGATAATGAAGTTGATGTTTGAAAATACTAGAATTAACATCTTTAGCTAAAACATTTTTAACATAGTTTACTTTGTATCTGTAGTCAATTTAGCATTTTTCAAATTAATGTTTTTCATCATTTTTCATTATTTAAAAAATTTCTATCTCTATCATTAGAATTCTGTTGATTTTAAAAGACAAAAAAAAAATGGCAACCCCAGTTTATCTATGTAGGCTACTTGTTGTGATTAACTCCAATCTATATTTTAAACTGCAGGCTTTGGGTTCCTTTTTTTTTAGATTTCACCATTATGTTGGATTGTGTGGTCAACACCATACCAACCAAAACTATACCTCCCTGACTTTTTGAATGACCATTATGGTGACCTTGGGGTCACAGACAAAGGCAGGCTTTTATTTTGTCAGTGGGGGGGGGGGGAAATGTCATTTTAATGGCAAATAAAAACCACTTTTCTTTCTATGCCACATTCAGGTGTAGTAAATCTAGATGTAAGGTTTTCATTTTAAGCTATTACAATATTTTTCTGATTTAGTACATGGTGCCTTTTTGATGACTTAGTTTTATGCTTGAGTTGACCTCATAGTCTCATTCTGACTTGACCACATAGTTGTATATATGACTTGATAACACAGTCATATGTCTGACTTGACAATACAGTCTTATGTCTGACTTCAGTACAGTCTTACACGTCAAAAAAATCTCTATGTGAGCTATCACATAGTTGTTCACTGTTTAAGAAATACTGAACATTAAATTCTTGTTTTTTTATTTTATGTTGCATTTTATTTTTTATTTAACATTCATACTAGACAGAAAACTAGACTCTTACTAAAATTTTTTAGTTCTATTGGAAATCTAAATAGATTTTATATCTTCAAGTGATTGTACTTCTGACTTAATTTTTTGATTTGTGAAACATACTTATTAGATGCTATTTTACTATGGCTCTGTATTTTTCCCCATACATTTTGTTGAGGTTTAAAAGTGAATAAAATCTTTTAGTGAAGTAAGTTACATCAATTGTTCTGTGATTAATGTTGATGTAGGTCACTTAATGGATCTAAATAAAAAAAAAATATATATTTATATTAGTTTTGTTTGTTGCTGATTAAACTGTATTATACATATTTTATAAGTTTTTCTACTTTATTGAAATATATTTATATTAGTTTCATTTATTGTTAATTTAAATTGTATATTACATGTACAGGCTGTTCAAATTAATTGAAATATAAGCTACCATATAATTACACAAAACATGTGCTCAAATTGGAGTAGCTTCAATACTTATAAAAAATATTGCTTAGCCTCATATGAAATGGTACTGATTTAAATATATATATATATATATATATATATATATATATATATATATATATATATATATATATATATATATATATATATATATATATATATATATATATATATATATGTAAAACAACTTCAATGCACATTTGTCAAAATATTTAATTAGACTAACCTATAACTACTTTAGCAAGTCTACAGGGCCCTAACAGTAATTTAAAAATCAATTTTTACCAATAAATAGCAGACTAAATGTTATACAATCATGGTAAATATAGTAGGATAGAGTTTGACATTGATATTTTATTTTTAAAATGATAATTAGCTCATAAATGGAAACTGCATAGAAAAATCAAGTTGTAGGCCTATAGGCTATAATACTAGAATAGCATATTGTTTATTTAAAAATGGGATCATGTGTGTTTGAATGAATTTTCTGCAGTTTGGATGTAGGCCTATTTTTGTTTTGTCCCTACCATTTTCGGTAACTAAATTCAGGTAGAAAAAAAAATGGTTTCGATTGCTACCATGTTGTGCAATAATTTAATATGAAAACAACTAAATAGGTGAAGCGGAAGTTTGGAACTTAAAAAAAAATTACTGGACAAAGAGCGGGGTTTATAGAGCAAAGAAAACAAGGTGTCCCTAATTAAAGCATTATTCATAATCAATCGAAGTGTCTGTCATAAAGGGCACAGATGGGTTGGCTTATGTTTATGTAAATGTAGACTTGAAGGCACAAATGGGACATCTTTGTCGAATAGTAGAGCATACGACTGCTCACCAGATAGTCTTGAGTTCGAATCCTGGTAGAGTCACCCAGCACTGATGCCACTGATGGGTGTCCTAAGTCATGGGCATAGAGCTTAACTTTATTGGCTGTCAGGCTCAAAAGAGAACTTTTAAAGGCAAAAACATATTTGTATGTTCTAGTTATTTGCAAATTTTATAACATTGATTCTCAACCTAAGAGTTAGTTACATTTCTTGATTTTTTAAAACTTTATTTGTCATCCATATATGACGTCACGTTTGTTTTTATGACCAATTTAACCTCTCTTCCTCGCAACCGCTACATATCGTTACAAAAACAATACCGTTGAACCTCAGCCAACAACCCCAAATCCCCCCCCCCCACCAAAAAAAAAATACAGCATATCTTGAACATTTTTTTAAAAAGTTCGATTACTTTTTTTAAAAAAAAATATTGACTGAGCTGTGTCAACATATATAGTATTTTAATTGAAATTTCTATTACAAAAACATTTTTCTCAAACAGCTAAAATTAAAATTCACTCTTAAAAATACAAAAGAGGAACTTCACACGAAAAAATTCTACCGCCCCCCCCCCCCCGAACGAAATGAAATGTATATAATTTATATAGAAAATATATACTTTTAACAGTCTCCGCCCCCCCCCCCCCCCCCCGAAGAAAGTCTACCGCCCCCCCTCCCCGAAAATTTCAAGTGCCCCCCCCCCCTCCCCCCGGAGAAAAAAGTCTGGAAGAAACACTGTTGAACTGCCCCCCCCCCTCCACTTCATCACACATCGTCACATTATCCCCTATTTTTTCATAGTAATTTGTCGTCATTTTTGGACGACCACTTAGTTAAAAAAAACTTTTATACATTAAAGGATACTCAGATGCAGGGGCGTAGCGAGGGGGGGGGGGGGCGGGGGGTGCGGACCGCACCGGGTGACACCATTTAGGGGGGTGACACCAAGGCAAAAAATAGCAAAATATATAGAGAAAAACTCGAGGGGGGTGCAAATCGAAAGTTTGAAAGTTTGTCCCTGGGAACAGAGTTTCTTCCTTCGCCCCCCCGAAAAATTTTTACCGCCCCCCCGAACGAAATGAAATTTATATAATTTATATAGAAAATATATACTTTTAACAGTGTCCGCCCCCCCGAAGAAAGTTTACCGCCCCCCCCCCCCCCCGAAGATTTCAAGTGCCCCCCCCCCCCCCCGGAGAAAAAAGTCTGGAAGAAACACTGCCTGGGAAGGGTCTCTATGCCTCTGGGGGGGGGGGGTGACACCATTAAGTGCCGCACCGGGTGACACCCGACCTCGCTACGCCACTGCTCAGATGACAAAATGTACAACGCACGTTTCTCGTGTATGTTAATAATAATGGTTTGAGCAGCTATCTGGCAGGTATATTTATAGTATACGGGCCCTGCACTAAAAAATATCCATAGCATGAAAACAGTGTCTTCTTTCATTCACTCTGCTCCCATTTACAAGAACTTGCTTATAAATTAAACATATCCAAACTATTCTAAGTGAGCGAGATAGAGTAAAGAATCTGATATGTGGTACCAATTTTGATACATATTTGAAAATTGAAAATAAACAAATTAAATGTTAAATTAGAGTATTGAGAAAATCGGGAATATCCAGAAGAAAGTAGAGCTTCCAGATAAATTTAGAAGTCATAAGCAAAAAGTATTTCTACATTCAAAGGTTTAGTCAGCTCTAAAGACGTTAGCTCATAGCTAACATGAGTGAGCCTGACTCAGTGATTACATAATTGCTTTTTCTGAAACCTAGATCTACAAATAAATATTGATTTAAACCTTTACGACACGAATATTTCAGACAGATCTAGACTCTATGACATTCTACACGCAAGGTAGGAGCAAGCTCTTACTTTCATCTTAGACCATTCACTTTACTAATTTACATTTGATTTTTTTTTTTGTATTTTATCTTGCAAAAAATTAGGTAATAGCAACCAATTTAATTTAATATTTTAATTACATACTTTGATTGACGAGGCCTACTAGTTTTAATCAGGGGTCGTCCATAAATGACTTCACACTCGTAGGGAGAAGAGGGGTCCGTAATTTTGTGACGGTGTGTGATGAGGGGAGGGGGGGGGGGGGTTCAGATGGTGTGATGTCACACTTTTGCATTATTAAAAAGCAATGCTGGTAAACGAATTTTATCCGCTATTTCGTGTTTTAGAAAACTGTTTAAATAAATTGTAATAGGAATTGATTAAAATACTGTATGTTGACAGAGTTCAGAAAAGATTTTGAAAAATATCGCCGTTTTAAGAAAAATTCAACTGCAATTTTGAGGGGTTTGTAGGCGGAGGTGTGACGTCATTTTAGGGGGGGGGGGGTCTGGCTTTTTTTGACGATGTGTGACGTAGGGGAGGGGCGAGGTAAAAATCGTCCAAAAAAAAAGAGTGACGTCATTTATGGATGACCCATCAATCGTCCTGATACGTGCTGTCTGAAACAATCCTTTCAAACTTGAATCTTTCTTTTAAAAAACCCAACGAAGCGTAGTATTTTTAGCAGGGCACTTTCAGATGATCTTAAATATCAATTTCCTTAATATGATATGATAATTTAAAGATTCTATTTTTCAGAAAATAGACGATCTTTGTATGAAAGGATTTGTAATTCCGATTCTATTTTTAGATGGCTTTAAAAAATGAATCCAGTATGATGAGTCAGGAGGATATAGCAGCCTTATTTAGAGGTAGGCCATTAACAATTTTAATTAAGTAAACTTGAATCACTAAACTAATCGTTATCGTCAACAGCTAAGATATGAATTTTCAAACCCCTCCCCCATTGTTACAATAAACAACCATAAAACGAGGTCAAATATAACAACGAAAAGCAATAACTCCTCCCCCCGGCTATTTTTAGCTACACGTTCATGTGTGGACTTTCCCCATAAAATTAAAGAATAAACATTGGTTCACATGTTTGATATCACGAATGAAACACATACGAAGGAATTTTAATAATAAAGCTCCCCTATTCAGACTTAAAGACCCATAGGGCAGATGAAGTGGAGTTCGTATATTTCTTGACTTCGGCATATGAAGGGGTGATGTGGTCAGCCGCCTTTACTCTCCCTTACGTGAGTTAGGTACCCATCAGAGCTGGGTGATCTCAGGGATCTCATACGTATTCGAGCCGAACTTGAGACTTTCTGGGTAAGCAATCGAATGCTCTACCATACAACCACGCCGACTCCACTGTCCTTCCAGTGAGTAAGGTACCAACCACAGCTGGGTGAACTCAAAGATCCAAACTCGAGACCTTCGGGCAAGTAGCCGAATGCTTAACCATTCGACCCTTTCTTCACCTTGCTGGTATTGTGTACGTCTTTATTATTATTATTTTTTTTTGAATAGGCCTTTGGTTTAGCCTAAAATTTGAATTTAAGAAGTTAAATATTTTCTGACCAATAATGATCTGGCAAGTACATTAGAGGATCTTTGTTGTCGGAGATAATTTCTTTCAAACTTGACACTTACTTTACTCAAAAAATATGAAAATGAAAGGAGTTCGAGGGAAATGATTTTTTGTGTTATTTTTGATTTTCTGGCTACGCGTGTAGCTCGCCCAAGACCTGGTTACCAGAGCTTAAAGACATGGTTACCAGAGCTTAAAGACCTGGTTACTTACCAGAGCTTAAAGAACTGGTTACTTACCAGAGCTTAAAGACCTGGTTACTTACCAGAGCTTAAAGACCTGGTTACTTACCAGAGCTTAAAGACCTGGTTACTTACCAGAGCTTAAAGACCTGGTTACTTACCAGAGCTTATAGACCTGGTTACCAGAGCTTATAGACCTGGTTACCAGAGCTTATAGACCTTGTTACCAGAGCTTAAAGACCTGGTTACCAGAGCTTAAGGACCTGGTTACCACAGCTTAGAGATTAGGTTGCCAGAGCTTAAAGACATAGTTACCAGAGCTTAAAGACCTGGTTACCAGAGCTTAAAGACCTGGTTACCAGAGCTTAAAGACCTGGTTACCACAGCTTAGAGATTAGGTTGCCAGAGCTTAAAGACATAGTTACCAGAGCTTAAAGACCTGGTTACCAGAGCTTAAAGACCTTGTCATCAGAGCTTAAAGATCTTCCATTTCAATCACTTGTCCTAAAATAGAATCTTTACATTTTTAAATTTATCAATTGGGACGACGTGGCCCAGAGGTACAGCGTTAGACTGCTAACCTGAAAGTCTCTAGTTTGAATCCGTGTTCAAGACATTAGAACGTCCATGAGGCCACCCAGCTCTGATGGGTACCCGACTCACGTTAGGGAAAGTAAACGAGGCTGACTAAACTATCCTTTCATATTCCGAGTTCACATAAACATGTGAACTATACTCCACTTACCCCATGGACTGTTCTTTTTTTTTTTTTAAAAGGGTACTTAACTTTACTTAATAAACATTGTTATTTCAAATTCCGTATCTGCAGTACATATCGTTAATGACATGAATTTTATGTCTTGTAGGGCACCATGAGGTCGAAGAGTGTGAGACCCTGGAAAACGACCCCCAGACAAACTTCGAAAACTGCAAAAAGAAAGATTTCCACCGTGAGTTAATACCTGTAAATGAATTAAACGAAAGCAACTTCCCAGACCGTTACCGGAATAAGAAAGTCCTTGAAGTTGTTAAAAAGCTTACGAATTTGACTGTAATGGTAGTGGTGAAATTTACCAGCTCAGCTAGACCCGACTTCTCAGAAGATAAAATTCCATACCCAAGTTATAAATATAGAGGGACATATATTTCAAGAAACGGCACTGGGAGAATTCGCATGGTCAAGAAATGTCCAGAAGATAGCGTCAAAACTTGCCCATGTTCGAAATGTAAAACATCCGGCACGCCCAAAACATCGTGGGGGGAAATCACCGTCCATACAGCGACCCACGTGGTGTTTGACGAAAGTGAGGCTGTCTACACCACTTGTGTAGTAGACTACGACTTTGATAAACAATCGAGCCTGGAGATTCAAGTCGTGAAGCTGGAGGAAGGGGACATCAACCGCGACTGCTGTCGACTGCTTTGCGTCACCCATGACCTGGATTTAGTCGATCGTTTAACGCAGACGAGAAGTGACTTCATCCAACTATGCCAGGAAGTCAACGAAATGTACAAGGATTTCAGAGACGAGGACAAACTGGCTATCATAGTATCGCACCCCCACGGCCTACCAAAGCGAGTCTCCATAGGAAAATGGACATACAGAATACGCGAGGGTAGCGAATTCTCGAAATACTCATACACCAACGCCACCTGTCCTGGCAGCAGTGGCGCCACCGTCTACACGATGGGAGACAAAGATCTGATTTCCTTGCACGTGCACAGCGGAACTAAAGACATGGACGGGAGTTTCAACAACTACAGTGGCGTTGGTTTAGATAAGTACACATGGTAAAGTGAACGCGAATCATCCCGTTTTATAATTGTGGTTATCGGTAAAGATGTAATGTTATCAGCTACAAATGTGTGTTGTCAAATACCAGGTTAACCTGAATGCTCATTGATACTGCTAACGGTATAGTAATAGCACGTACAAAAACGTGTGAAGTGAATGCTAAATGAAGATTTGAACAGAACCCAAAGTTATTGTAGTCTTTATACTTTCTTCTTCGTTCTTAATTTTAGTGTTAGATGGTATCCCCTCCAACATAATTAAATATACTTGTCAACTTGTTATGCGCCATTGAGGGTTTGTTTCAGCTTGCTTTTTTTTTTTTTGGATTTGCTTCCATAGCCTTTGTCCAACCAAGAACTAACTACAAGTCAGCCGATAAAGTATTACAGTCTAGCCGAAAAGACCCAGATGGAAACAAAAATGAGTATTTATTTGTTTAGCAGTTTTTTCTTCCGAGTGGAATTGACTGCATTAAACGAGATTTTATTTTATTTTATTTAGTACACCAACATTATAAGTTTTTTTTTTTCAGAGGAAGACATGAAATAAACATAATGTTAAAATAGATAGAAAACCTCAATTGAAAACGTAAAGATATCCAGAAGCGTGATCTTTACAATCTGGATGTGTCTAAACTAAACCGATCGAACTAGAGCTGGTGTTTATATTTCTTCTAACTAACATGAGTTTCACACCCGTGCCCTTATAGATCTTTAAGGTGCATTGTTGCCACGTTTTTTTTTTAAAAACACATACTTGATTTTAAACATAATTGTGTGTAAATCATATATTTCTTATTTAACATTAGAGCTAACTAGATAGTTTATATAGTCTTTAAAAGTGAGATATATCACTGTTTTTTTGTAGATAGTTGTAACTAAAAACCGTTCTTGCAATAAGGGTTCATCCAGAATGCCATCACGCTTTTTTTGACGATTTTTACCCCCCCCCCCCTCACCTCCGCCACACTCCGTCACAAAAAGCCAGACCCCCCCCTTAAATGACGTCACACCTCAGCCTACAACCCCCATTAAAAAATTGCAGTTGAATTTTTCTTTAAACATGTTTTATTTTTCCAACATCTTGTCTGAATTCTGCCAACATAGAGTGTTTTAATCAATTCCTGTTACAATTTATTAAAACAGTTTTCTAACGTTGCTTTTTTATAATGCAAACGTGTGACGTCACACCATTTGGACAACTTCCCCCCCCCCCCCCCCCGTCCCTCTCATCACACTCGGTCGCAAAATTACGGACCCCTCTCCTACACGAGTGTGCAGTCATTTATGGACGGCCCCCAATAACAGTAAGATGTAGGCCTATATGTACATAATGTTATCGTTAATAATACACACAAACAGAGGTAGGAGTATTTTTCTATGCTGTGATATGTACATCTTATATAATGATATTTGAATTGAATCATTTGATATTTACATATATGCAGTTATATTTACATATCTGTGGCGATATTTTACACCAGAGTTAGTGATATTTACATACCATGTTTGATATTTACACATTATATAATGACAATATTTTACACCTTGCTACGACTGTTACTTTTATTGCCACACTTCGCCATGACATGATTTTATTGCCTTGATGATTGTGTTTTTAAATATATACACATAATTTTTATATTAAGATTATTAATGTTGGTCATTTGACTTAGGCCTGATTTGTTTTTCAACAATAAAACTTTAATTCTGCCATTATTACCCAATTTTCTATTGAATAATTTTAAAATGTTTTTTTGCACTGAACATAATTTGATGTTAGTTTCATGTCACAGGCTCATGTGCGTTTTAAACACACGTTTAAGAAAGTGAATAAAATTTTCGAAATTAATTAATTATAATTTTTTTTAGTTGTCTATTCTCATAAGTATCAAATTAAAATAAAGAAAACGGAACAAAAATAGTTTGAAACCCCACCTACAAAATTAATGGACTGTTGATAACTGACTCATTGCAACATTTCTCATTCTATTATAATCTATTCTATTTCATTTTGTATTATAACTAAATAATATTAATTCTTTATTCCAAATTTTTAATGCTTTGTTATTGCTATGTCTTTACTACTTAATTGCCTTTTATTAAAAACGATGTTATTTAAAAAAAAAAAAAAAAAAAAAAAAAAAAAAACGCCCAATGTGAAAAAAAGTCTCCGTGTTTACTGTTGTTACTGTTATTGAATAACTTGAATGTACAAATACATTGATTCTGTATTGTTAGCAAAATTGTGTTTTTCTTATAAGTTAAATACACAAATCTTTACTAAATTTTTAAATTTGATTATCATGACCTAGGGCCCAGAAAGTAGTAATTCTGTTTTTCTCTCTCCATAAGAGCACTATAAGTAAATTAAAATTAAAATTTTCCAATGTGGGTTATATTTTTTTGTTATATTTTCTGCTTGAAACATTGTTATTGTAAGCCAGTTTTTGTTTTAGTTCCACGAGACTCAATCTGTCGCCTTACATTTAAAATGGAAAAAAAAAGTTTCAATAAACCTGGGAACATATTTTTTGGGTCCAGAAGTAGGAATACTATTTCACATTTACAAACTTCACCGCTCGAATTTAAACTTACACTTTTTGTTACGTCCCTTACATGTCCCCTGATTGTGTGTGTTGTGTGCTCGAACGACAGGTACCCTCCCTTTGGTGTATAGTTGTAGCCCTTGGTTGAGTGTGTTTACATGGAGCGAGAAGTGTTCACGTGAGGTGTGTCAGGTGACGGGTGTCAGAGCGTGTGCCATTGTGTGAAGTAGTTAGTTGTAGTGTGGCTGTGGACGTGGAACGTGGTGTTGAGTATTGTCACTTGTGTTGTAGACCCCTTTTATCTTTATTATTTTATTATTGTATATATATTAAATATCTCATTATTATTATAGAGTGATAGTGTTATCTACGTCGTATTTGTCTGTTGCTATATACCCCTAGACATTGAAGAACACGACACTTTTTAACAAACTAAACGAAACTGTTCGTTTCTTTCTTTAAGTGTAAATTCTCGGTTCAAATCCCTGCCGCATTGGTTCAGGCATGAAGGGCGCGGGAGGGGGAGTGTTCATGGCGGGGGACTGGGGTTCATTTGTCTTCGTCTTGAAGACAACATGCCATCCGTCTGGAAAGCCACGTAGAGATAACCGTACCGAGATCTCGCCCAAACTTCACGACTTAGGAGAGTCGTTTTTTTTCTTGTGATTTGGGCAACATCGCAAATTACAAACGGATTCTTCCCAGATCCAAGTTTCCTTTAAAAGCCTGTTTTTTAAATTTTTCCGAATTACACCCGGGTTGAGTTCAGCGATCATTATCCTGTCGAAAAACTCTGAGCGTCTCCAGTGGACGGTGGGAGATCAACTCGTTAAGAAGCCTTGATTAACTTTCCCAAGTAATGCGGTTGCTTGAGTAGATTAAAAAAGAACGACTTAGGAGGTTCGTCGAACCACCGAACACAAAATCTTCTTTCATAGGAATTTAACAAAATCTTTCGGCACTGTGTTTACAGTAAAAATAATGATGTTTCTGCTCGACGACCCTTTCTGTTGGAGATTAGTCCAGTCCTTATTCAAGATAGATAAGGGAATTGTATTTGTATTCAAAAGTTGCGCGCTTCTTAGAGCCTACGTTTCGCACCTCTTAAAAAATTACTAAACTGCGAACCCCGGTATTTCCGATTTTGTGCTGTATTTAACTTCCGCTAAAATCTACTCACAAATTTATTTATAACTAAAATGTACGAGGAGATCCCTATGACTTCGAAATCAACAGAACCATATTCCATAATCATAACTAGGGTGTGTGATGGTGATGTTTTAAACATAACCGTGAACTTACGTGTTAAATTTGTTTCTGTATTCATTATTTAAGATTGCAAAAGTATAATATATCTACTGATGGTGTAAAGTTTACACACGAGAAGTTGGTGCGAAATGCTAGTCGCACAAATCGCACTTGTGTACTTTGTATTCGAATGTCAATCAAATATTGCGAAAAAAATAAAAATAAAAAAAAAAATTAGATCTACTTCCTGTTTATTTATAGTAAACTAGCCATCGGTACCCGTTTCACGTGAATTATAGGCGTATATATTTTAAAATGTTGAACTTGTTTGAGAAAAATAATTTATAAAATAGTTATTGGTCAAAACGCAATGTGTATTACTACACGCTGAACGATATTAGTGACAAAGCAAAGAAATAACTAATTAGCTAAAAATCCGACACATTTAAAGTAAAAACTTATAAAAGTTTAGGCCGAGAAAATCGTATTGTATACATTTCATAGCGTACGTAGCTCTAAATCATATTTGAATGAAATAGTTCATTTCTTTATTTTATTCTAAACTCGGAAGATGACGTTATTAGTTTCGTGCTCCTTTTTTAGTGTAAACATTAAGTGACGTCATTGTTAAATGCGCTCATGTCCCAACTATAAAATCTTTTTCCGGTTGCATAATTAAAATTGTTTTTCTACATTCGAAAATACCTTTATTTTTATATTTTTCTTCTTTAAATAACATTGTGGTTATACATTTAAAACATCTAACATTATTTTCAACAAAAGTCCATATCAAGTTCTCCATATATCGCTGCAGATTCTGATGTGATATCCGGCGAAAATATTTTGCGGACAGACAGAGAGAGAGAGAGAGAGAGAGCGAGAGAGAGAGAAGTGCGCACATGGGCTTTTATATATTAGGATATGATTTCCCGTTTATATTTTTTCCAAGTCGTTAGAAAATCGGATTTGATGTCTTTAGTTACAATGTTTACTAATAATTAAATTTTATTTTTAGTTTCCCGTTAATATTTTACTTGGTCAAGTTGGCTCGAAAAGAGCAGATCATTATTTACACGAAACAAAAACATGCCCTCTGACATACCAGCAATACTTTTTTTAAAAGTACAAAATAAAGCGGAAAAAATAATGAATGTTATACAATCTGCTAATTCTGAGAACATAAATATATTTAGTGTAAGGCTAGCTCTATATTTCATCACCATCTTTTCCCGTTCGTTTCTAAGACACTTGGGGCAGAGGAAGTAGAGTTCATCTGATTCATTGACCTCAGCTTACAAGGGAATAGCGTGATCAGCGCTATGCCAAGCCATCTTTGTTTACCTAAAATGAGTCAGTTACCCTTTAGAGCTGAGTGGACTCATGGACTTTCTACAGACTCGAGACTTCCGACCTCAAGGATTTCGGTTGCCACTAAACATATTTATAGACCCGACATTTCAACCCGACCTTTACATTTTAGCACAAAATTTATTTCGATCTACCGTTAAATATTTTGTTCCGTGACTTCTGAAAAAGTTATAAATGTAATGCGATTTACGATAGCAGAAAAAAAATTGCTAAATACAAGTAAATAGCAATGTTTTGCACGAGTTTTCGGTAATCGTCAGTATAACCATATTATGTTACATTTTTCTTACACTACAACGTTGTGCATGTTGTGGTAAGAAAATAAAAAAAAAAACATGGTTGCTTTTATTCAACTTGTATTTAATTACGGAAAATATTAATAACAAAATACGTCCAATTTACAGAACATCAATACAAAAACCAAATAAGAAGAGGTTTTGTATTCTATCTATAAGGACTTTTTAAGTTAAAATATTAACCACTACATTGCTAAATAAAAAAAGTACATGTATAAAACTTTTTCTTTTTCAAAAAGATAAACGAGTAAAGGTTGGTGTAAAATTTTAAAACTTAGATCATAGCTTAGACGATGAAATGTTTTGACAGTAATGAATTTAGATTTTATCTCTTTTCTTAACACTGTGCCTAAGATTTAATTTGTATAGCTTCTAATGACAGATACATTATAAACCTCTTATATTTTGTCAGGGTGGTAATGGACAGCCAGGCAGAGCAAGATGTCAAAGACTTATTCGAGAAGGTTGAACTAGGGGATCGAGACGAATAGTTCCATGGGTTTCGACTGTTATCAGTGTGGTAAGGGATGAAACTGTCAAAAATGTGAAGATGTTTTTGTAGTTGTGGGCCATACTTTATGGTTGTGTAAACGAGGGCTTAACTGTCTCTTTTCCTTCTCGGCTTTTGTTTACATTTGTGTAAAAGATGGCTGAACTTTCTGTCTCTTGAGTAGCAAAGAGGGAAATACTTCCTTGCTTCTGACGCATTCAGTGCTGGAGTTGTGGGACTTGTCATTTCAGCATGAGAATTGCTCTCTCTTCTGTGGCTTAACTCTCTGTCTCTGAAGTAGCAAACAGAGAAATGCTTCCTTGCTTCTGAAGCATTCAGTGCTGGAGTTGTGGGACTTGTCATTTCAGCATGAGAATTGCTCTCTCTTCTGTGGCTTAACTCTCTGTCTCTGAAGTAGCAAACAGAGAAATGCTTCCTTGCTTCAGACGCATTCAGTGCTGGAGTTGTGGGACTTGTCATTTCAGCATGAGAATTGCTCTCTCTTCTGTGGCTTAACTCTCTGTCTCTGAAGTAGCAAACAGAGAAATGCTTCCTTGCTTCTGACGCATTCAGTGCTGGAGTTGTGGGACTTGTCATTTCAGCATGAGAATTGCTCTCTCTTCTGTGGCTTAACTCTCTGTCTCTGAAGTAGCAAACAGAGAAATGCTTCCTTCCTTCTGACGCATTCAGTGCTGGAGTTGTGGGACTTGTCATTTCAGCATGAGAATTGCTCTCTCTTCTGTGGCTTAACTCTCTGTCTCTGAAGTAGCAAACAGAGAAATACTTCCTTGCTTCTGACGCATTCAGTGCTGGAGTTGTGGGACTTGTCATTTCAGCATGAGAATTGCTCTCTCTTCTGTGGCTTAACTCTCTGTCTCTGAAGTAGCAAACAGAGAAATACTTCCTTGCTTCTGAAGCATTCAGTGCTGGAGGTGGGGGACCTAGAGCTACAGTAGTAGTGCTCTGTCTTCTGGGCCCTGTCATCTCATCATGAGTATCGCTCTCTCTTCTGTGGTTCCTCACCCACACTAAAAGGAAAAGAACGGTTAAAATGTCAAAACTGTAACCGTTAAATGTAGATGAATGTATGTTTCGAGTATGTATCTTAAAAAGGCGATATGAATATAAAATATAGGATGGGTGTGCGCATGCGCTAAGGAAAGGAAGCAGAGAGAGGTAGAGAGAGCGCGAGGAGATGACGAAACTGAAAGTCGTGGTTCTAGTAGTGTAGCTGCTATATTATCTGATATCAATAAAAGACTGTAAAATCACCAATAATGTGGTTTGTGCCATGAACCCAGTCATACACAAGGGCTGTGACAAAAACGAAATAGGTAGATAGTAACTCATTCCGCGACCTAAATAGACAACCCTCGCTACATATATCTGTTCAAAAACAAGATGGCCTTCTTGTATTATGCCGTAGACAAAACAAGCACTACCCGCGGCTAATAAAATATCAATAAACAAAATCACCTTAAAGAAAATAGATATTAATAAGTATTGGCTGAGGCGTAGCGACGGGGGGGGGGGGGTGCGCACCACATCCCGGGTGACACCATTTAAGGGGGTGACACCAAGGCAAAAAATAATAGCAAAATATATAGAGAAAAAATTATAATTTTACTTAATTAAGTGATTAATTCGAGTGTTAAACAGTGTTTTAATCGAAAGTTTGAGGGGGGGGGGGGGTGTGCAAATCGAAAGTTTGAGGAGGGGGTGGGTGCAAATTGAAAGCTTGAGGGGGGTGCAAATCGAAAGTTTGAGGGGGTGGGTGCAAATGGAAAGCTTGAGGGGGAGGGGTGCAAATCGAAAATTGAAAGTTTGTCCCTGGGAAGGGTCGCTTACGCTTTTGAGGGGTGGCACCATTAAGTGCAGGACCGGGTAACACCCGACCTCGCTACGCCACTGAGTATTGGGTTACCCACCCATTGCTACAACAAAGAGTGCCACTAGAACAACAATCGTCCCAATCATCCACATCAAGCGGAGTGGTGTGTACGTGATTTCTGGCACAACTGGTCCATCTGCCACGGCTCGTCCATCTCCCTCACCACCCCTGTGAGCACTTTGACCGCTGGAGAAAATTCAATATATATATATATATATATATATATATATATATATATATATATATATATATATGTATATATATATATATATATATATATATAAGATATATATATATATATAAGATATATATAAGATATATATATATATATATATATATATATATATATATATATATATATATATATAAGAAGATATATATATATATATATATATATATATATATATATATATATATATATATATATATATATATATATATATAAAGAGAGATAGAGAAAGAGAGAGAGGAAGATATAGAGAGAGGAAGAACGTGAAGAAAAGTAGTGAGAGAGTAGAGAAGAGGTAGCCCCATAGGCTATTAAGAGAAAATGAGATGCCGAAAAAAAGGTGATAAAACGTGAACATCAGTTTAGAGGTTTGAAGGAATGCGAAGAGTTTCTTCCAGACATCTCTTGGGGGGGGGGGGGGGGGTCGAACCCCCCGCCCTGAAAATACTTACTGCTTGCAGCATCCACCATCGCACACACCGTATCTACAGTTAATAACAGTGCTCGAGCAGTAAAAAAAAATTCCGATGCAGGTCGAGTAGCTGTTACAAACTGCAAACAAAAAAACATACTTTTGTCTAGAGGCGTAGCGAAGGGGGGGGGGGAGACATATGTCCCCGGGCGGGGGGTGCAAATCGAAAGTTTGAGGGGGGGGTGCAAATCAAAAGTTCGAAGGGGGGGGGAGACATGTCCCCGGGCGGGGGGTGCAAATCGAAAGTTTGAGGGGGGGGGTGCAAATCGAAAGTTTGATAGGGGGGGGGGGTGCAAATCGAAAGTTTGAGGGGGGGGTGCAAATCGAAAGTTTGATAGGGGGGGGTGCAAATCAAAAGTTCGCGAAGGGGGGGGTGCAAATCAAAAGTTCGAGGGGGGGGGTGCAAATCAAAAGTTCGAAGGGGGGGTGCAAATCGAAAGTTTGATAGGGGGGGGGGTGCAAATCAAAAGTTCGCGAGGGGGGGGGGGTGCAAATCAAAAGTTCGAGGGGGGGGGGGTGTAAATCAAAAGTTCGAAGGGGGGGTGCAAATCGAAAGTTTGATAGGGGGGGGGTGCAAATCAAAAGTTCGCGAGGGGGGGGGGGGTGCAAATCAAAAGTTCGAGGGGGGGGGGGTGTAAATCAAAAGTTCGAAGGGGGGGGGACGCAAATCGAAAGTTTGAGGGGGGGGGGTGCAAATCGAAAGTTTGATAGGGGGGGGGGTGCAAATCGAAAGTTTGAGGGGGGGGTGCAAATCGAAAGTTTGATAGGGGGGGGGGTGCAAATCAAAAGTTCGCGAAGGGGGGGGTGCAAATCAAAAGTTCGAGGGGGGGGGGGGGTGCAAATCAAAAGTTCGAAGGGGGGGTGCAAATCGAAAGTTTGATAGGGGGGGGGTGCAAATCAAAAGTTCGCGAGGGGGGGGGGGTGCAAATCAAAAGTTCGAGGGGGGGGGGGTGTAAATCAAAAGTTCGAAGGGGGGGGGACGCAAATCGAAAGTTTGTACCCGGGTCGCTACGCCTCTGCTTTTGTCCTTTGCAATAATTATTATAAGATGATTATTAACTTGTCAGTGTCATTATTTTAAAACATTGACAGTGGTGTAGTGCTCAGCACAGTTGGTGTGATAGATTGCTCACATTTATGCGACCTCTGCTTGTAAAGTTGTTCAGTGGTAATATGAAAGAAAAGAAATTGTTTTATGGCATGTTTGGGATTTGTAGAACAGAGCCTCAACAATGATTAGGGCTAATGTAAACCAAAAAGAAAATTTAAAAACGTATGTACGATGTTATTAAAATAAATATTGTTATAAAAACCTGTTTGGCTGATGTTAGACATTTCTAAAGGTTAGATGTGTTTTATGTTTTTAGTATTTTCGGTAACAAAACAAAGAAAATAAAACAGCCAAAAAAAAAAAAAAAACAGCCAAAAATATATTTTTTTTTTTAAATTTCATCGCTGAGCTAGTAAATAACTTGGCATACTTAGGCCAAATGGTTTTACAAAGTATAATTTTCATTAAAACATTTCACCCGCAAAGTTTTGAATACAAATTACTTCACAATGGGGTTTCATGAAAATCAATCACTGAGGTTTTATACAGCCAACTAACGATTGCCTTACAGAGGTGAAACTTCAGTCTTTGTATAAGTTAGACTTGTTGAAAATAAATAGAAACACAAACACAAAACTATAGAAGTTCTCTACATTTGCAGCTATTTTGTAGCATGTTATGAAAATGTTTGAAATGTTATCAAGCTTAAGCTGTTTTTTAAATGGCCACTCTAAAAGCAAAATTGGAAGTACTTTCGTCTATTCGTTGAGTTCTAGAATCTAGATCTATTTATTGAAGCCTAAGAGTCATTCTACGTCTACGACAAGAATAGCAACATGTTTAGTTAAACTCAGAGCTCCATGAGTTAGTGAGTTGCAGCCGACATTACTAATAATAGAAACAGGTCTGTTTATGTCGTTAATAAAAGAAAATCATGGCTGACGAGCCGTATCCCTTATTGTCTTGACTTTACAAAGCTTTTACTCAAAATAATTAGTAAAAGAGGTCTATGCTGGCGGGGTATAAGTAAAAAACAAACGAAAAGCAAATTTTGTGTGTAAATATTACCTTAGAAGTTAATGTTTTTTAAGCTACTACAGGTTTTCAATTAATTGTTACACAACGCTGACGTGGCGCCATTTTGTGCTGCATTTGGCCCTTTATCTGTTCATTACCAAAGAACATTTTTGAGAATACTAAGCACTTTTTTTTTTTTACAAATTTTTGAAAATTCGTGTCACTGCCCATACGGTTAACATTGAAACTCCTTATTTTTCTTTTCTTTTTACATTCAAATATTTTCGACGCTTTTAAAATAATACGTAATTTATATGATATATTTCTCAAACATAATTGCAAGAACAGAAATTGAAATTTACTTAGTATTTATTGTCTAGGACGTATTACACTTTCAAGGGTGGTAACAATATATGATATTTATAGGTGACTACTTCAGGCATACACATATTAGTTCTTTAAATACTTTATTCAAAATTTGTTTAATTTTAAATATTAAGTTACATTACAGTTACATGTTTAAAGTACAATAGTATCATAACAGTAACATTGTTAAATATCTGTTAATTTTTAAAAAAATATAATTCAAAATAGATTTTGCTGCAATAGTAAAATGATAATACATGGTGTGTTTAGAGATATTACCGTCAAGCTGCTTTATCTAGAGGTAATTTTTTAAAGTGAAAGTTTGCATTAATGAATATTTATTTTCAAAATGTTCCTGAATTGTAATCTAAATTCAGCAGTTATAATCAAGAATCATTCTATTTGTGTAGAGCGGTGGAGGGTGTTTAATGGACAACGTTTTTGCTAGGATTCTGAATGTAAGTTGCGATCGCGATAGGAATTCATTGATTTTAAATCATGTCATCATTTTTGATTTCTTACTATGTTCCATTTATTTTCTTGAAACCTTTACACAAACGTTTATATTAAGTTATGCCCATTTCGCCTCCCCCCCTTCTCATTTTTTATAATTCCACTTGTGAATATCGATCTAATACAAAGACACTTTGATCAAAATTGTATAAATAGGAGTTAAACACAATGACCTGACTATTGAAGATGCCAATAAAAAATATTCGGTGTTGAAAACTTGAAGAATAAGGTAAAACAAAGGGAAATCAAGAACACATGTGATATATGTACAGAATGATTGTGAACTACCGATACAGGTAGAGATTGAAAATGGCGCCATACTAGAAGTTTTCAAAAAACATCAATACCTCCACCTACCTATGACTCAGGGGAGATAATACTATCAATTCCATCAATAATTTTTAAAATTCGTATTAAATTAAAAATAATACAGGCGCTTAATTAAAGTGATAGTTAAAAGTACCGTCAGTAGATAAAGTGTTAAATACCGTGGTTCAATTACAACTTTTTTTTTTTTACACCAGAAGTGTCTTAATTTTAATTTTTTCATGCAGGATATAAAAAATTCGATGCACCTAAGTATATAAACATAAAAAAAATAATGCAAGAAGTTGATACAGCATTTTACCTTCAAATAATTTTTTTAAAATATAATTACACAACTTTTAAAATTAATCCATATATGGACACATCGCTTGTTATCAAACGCCAGCATTGGACAAAACACCTGTGACAAAAGCAGGACACAGCACTTGTGATCGAACACCCGCTGACAAACCACCTGTGGTCAAAGACCCTCTGCTGAGAAAACAACTGTGGTCAAACCCAGTGGCGTAGGCGGGGGGATTAGGGGGCGTCATAACCCCACCCTCATAGACCCCTCGGTATGTATATATAAAGTATGAAGGGGGGGGGGGGTGCAAATCGAAAGTTTGAGGGCGGGGGGTGCAAATCGAAAGTTTAAGGGGGGGGGGGTGCAAATCGAAAGTTTGAGGGTGGTGCAAATCGAAAGTTTGAGGGGGGGGGGGGTGCAAATCTAAAGTTTGAGGGAGGGTGGTCAAACCCAGTGGCGTAGGCGGGGGGTTAGGAGGGGGTCATAACCCCCCTCATAGACCCCTCGGTATATATATATATATATAAAGTATGAGGGAGGGGTGCAAATCGAAAGTTTGAGGGCGGGGGGGGGGGGGTGCAAATCGAAAGTTTGAGGGTGGGGGGGGGGTGCAAATCGAAAGTTTGAGGGTAGTGCAAATCGAAAGTTTGAGGGGGGGGGGGGTGCAAATCGAAAGTTTGAGGGAGGGGGGAAATCGAAAGTTTGTCCCCGGGTAAAAATTGGAACCCCCTCCCCCCCCTCTTGAGACGATCCTGGCTACGCCACTGGTCAAACCCCCTATGGTCAAAGCCCCTCTGTGGTCAAACCACCCATGGTCAAACCCCATTTGGTCAAAGCACCTGTGGTCAAAGGTTATTAAATTATTCACCACCCTTTTTGTGTGTGCGGTGTGTGTGTGTGTGTGTGAATGTAAGGGGGGGGGGGATTAGTGCTTAAAATGTCCTCTATGTGCTCGTGGGATGTATATTGATAGGTGTATATTAGCATTCATAAGCTTAATAACGCGTCAGGTTTCATTAGGTTCATAACTTCTGTTTAGGTTTACCTCATCTACCGCTTCCTAATACCAAAGTACTATTTTTTAATTACGGGTTGTCTATAAATGACGTTATACTGCGGAGGAAAGGGGTTCGGCCTTTAGTGAAACGTGAGGCGAAAGGGGGGGGGGGTGGGAAGTGTGACTGTACGCTTGTGCAATAGTGTTAGAAACTCTTAATTGGTAAAAAAAAAATTATAAATTCAATTCAGTAAAATTTAATTAATCTAAGCCTTCTTAACTTTGATCGTACTCATTAATTTAAAAAAAAATCGATGATTTAAAGAGATAGTCTTGGGAGGGGTGAGGGGCTGCGGTGGGGCGTCATATCTTCTTCGTTCTTAATTATTAGTGTTGAAGGGGATCGAGATTTATCTGCCAGTGGGTTTGAACTCGAGACTTTGTTCAATTATATCAACCATGAGCTTTTTGCCGACTCGACCACGCCTCCAACACAATTAAGCGTTACGTGTCAACTGGTTTTGCGCCATTGACTCCGATTTCAGCCTGCTTTTCTTTTTGGATTTGCTTCCATAGCCTTTGTCCAACCAAGAACCAACTACAAGGCAGCAGTTGTTTAATTTTGGAGTTATCTCTCCTAGAAGAGTGAGTGGCTGTCCCCAGCTAACGAGCCTCATCTGCCCGAGGGTTCGAACTCGAGACTTTTCGGTTTAGCAACCATGAGCTTTACCGACTCGACCACGCCGACCCCTGGGCGTCATATAAGTTGTTGGGTCCTGGCTTTTTGCGACCATATGTGACGTTGAGGAGTGGAGGAGTGGGGGGGGGGGGAATGATCGTTGAAAATGATGTCGCTTATGATAAAAATGACACCAGTGTAGGTTTAAATACCGTGGTTCATTTACAATTTTTCTTTTTTTACACGAGAAGTGTCTTAATTTTGCTTTTTAAGTGCAGGATACGAGTTTTTTGTTTGCTTTAAAATGTTAGTACTAGATCTATATCTAGTAACTACGAGTGAATTTCTTTCAACGCGCAGAAAAAAAGGTGGTATTTAAAAAAAATTGATGTAGATCTAGAATCTAGTCTAGATCTAGATCTAGATCTAAAAAAATCTATCTAGATCTACATCACATTTTTTTACATCGAATACAAAAATATTCGATGCACCTAAGTATATAAAAATAAAAAAAATAACGTACCTATGATGAAATTTAAGAATACAAAAAGATGATATAGATTTAGCATTTTTACTTCACATCAATTTTTATTTCGGGTATAAAACTACTAAAAACCTTAGAGATTGTAAAATTGTAAATAACATTTTAAGGCATCTTATGTTGTCAAGTAAACATTCAAGCTTCCGTTGCAGTGCGAAATAGTACAGTAAATAACCAGTAACCAAGAAAGTGCGCATTTGTATTACTATTTTGGCAAACAAAATAAAAACTTACTTTAATTTTTGTAAGTTCTGGTTCATGACATGCATGACTATATAATTAATTTTATTCGTTTTATTAGGTAAGAAATAACTGATTTTCAAACTTAGAAAAAAAAACAACAGACACAATAAAACATTTGTTTTGTTTTATGTTACATGTCTGCAAAATCAAAGCGTAAAAGCACTGACTAGGAACCGAAATTGAGATTATCAGACAAGTAACCGGAGGTAATATTCACAAGTGTGACCATCAACCCCAACATTATAATAACAACACATAAAAAATAACGAAATATCCACTGATATAGAAACTCGGGAAGTGTCCTGTCGAGCACCCGACAACTTTGCTTTATATATATATGTACAGAGATATATATAATTAAAGCGGAAATATTACCCCAATTTTTTTCCCCAGCTGAAGATTCCTCGGTTCTAATCCCTGCCGCATTGGGTTCAGGTGTTGGTGCTCACACTATCTACAATGTGAGGACCTATCGACATCCGTCTGGAAAGCCACATAGAGGCTGCGCACTCAGATAACGGTACCGAGATCTCTACCACAGGTAACGGATGAGGGAGTCAGTTTTCCTTCTGAAACCGACGTTACTTCTAGTAACTATGGTTGTGATTGGTACAATTATTTCCCCAGAACATTTCCGTCACTACCACAAGAATCAAATTCGTGACAAAGTGGTGACAGAAGCAATCATCAAATCGTAAGAGATGGAAACGCTTGGGGTAATAACCTAGACCAAAATAATGGATACTTTCCAGAGCATAAAAAATATCCGCAATAGTCATCTATCCAAATGAATTTTGTGTTGAGTTCAGCTATCATTATTCGGCAGAAACGCTATGAGGGTTGTGGTGGACAACAGGAGATCAACTAATAAGTTGCCATGATTAACTTCAGCAAGCGTTGGCGTTGCTTGAGAAAGTTAAAAAAGACGCGTTAAGAGGTTCGTCGACTATTGAACACTTAGGCCCTACATAACGTTTCAAAACTGTCAAGCTAAATGATGCAATATATCAGCTCAAAATGCGTACTCCCAAGTAGCTACAGTACGTAGCACCTCCATAACTATAATTAATATGGGTATTACCGATTTTGTTTTATAAACGTTGATTAAGTTGAGTTCACGTCGCATCTTACGGCGTTTTATGATCCTTCTCATAGAGCAGATACACACGTTAACTATTTGAATGGTTTGTGCTAGATTTGCTGAATGCGACCCTATCATCACAATTACAGAAATCAAATTTTTGTATTATAAATATTAATAATAGAATTCTCTGGTTCGTTCTGATGGGTCATGTGGTTTTAAAAAAATATATATTTTTCTTTCAAAATTTTAAGAGCAAAGGTTCGAGGACGAATTTCTACAAAGTGGGGTTTTCAGAAGAATTAAAAAATTTTTTTTTTTTACGATTGCTTTGATAGAAAAAAATCGAAAAATTACACGTTTTTCTATCCGGCAAACCAATCTCGCCTTGAGAGCTAGACTGCTAACCGAAAGTCTCGAGTTCGAATCCGGGTTCAAGTCAGTAGAACGTCCCTGAGCTATCCTGCTCTGATGGGTGCCTAACTCTTGTTAGGTTGGGCATAGTGCTGACCACACCATCCCCAGCAAACGCCGATTTCTCTGAAACTGATGAATTCTACTTCACCTGCCCCATGTGTCTGATCTTGGAGGGTCGGGAATTATATAATTCTATATAAGGTTTCATATCGGACTATTAAAAAACTGATGTTTGTGTAGATTAACGCTTTCACAGCGGAGTACCAAAATGAAAGAATTTCTTTCCTTACCTGAAATGAACACAGTGATTAGAAACTGTACAGTGAAAAAATGATTATAAAATACTCTCAGCATATTAGAAATGGTATGACAATTTTGTGTAACACTTAACCAGACCTTGAGTCTTAAATTAAGGAAATATAAAATGAAACTAAAATACTAATCAACACGACAAGCGTCTGTGATTGACTTCCTGCAACTAATTACTTAATTCAATTATCTTTCTAAAAATAGTTATGCAAATATATATCTTAAGTTGAAACTGTAATAGAACGAGTTCCCTAAAATCAATTAATTCAAGTTTCGGTTTATCATTTTGATGTACTGATTGTTGTGATTGGGTGGTGGTGTGGTGTCATGTTGTTGAGAGTTTTGAAAAGAGAATGGAGATTCAGCTAGACCTGTTGACTTATTATCAAAGTTTAAAGTTTTTTATCAAGGTGTGTGTGTGTCCGTGTGTGTGTGTGTGTTTTTCAGTGTGTGTGCAAGTTTCAGTGGGTGTGTAAATGTGTGTGTAGATGTGTGTCAGTGTATGGGTCTGTGTGTTTTTTGTTGCAGTGTGTGTGCGTTTTAGTGTGTGTGTCAGTGTTAGTGTTAGTTTGAGTGTGTTCGTTTGAGTGTGTGTTTCAGTGTGTGTGAGTATGTGTGTGTTGCAGTGTGTATGTGTCAATGTGTGTTAATGTGTGTGTGGGTGGGTGTTAGTGTGTATGTGTTACAGTGTGTGTTTCAGTGTGTGAGTTTTAGTGTGTTTGTGTCAATGTGTGTGTGTGTCTGTGTATGTGTCTGTGTTTGTGTGTGTGATGCAGGTTGTATGTGTGCCAATGTGTGTGTCTGTAATAAACTAAACCTTTCTTATTCTGACCGTGACTGGAAGCCATCGCTGATATAAAAATGAATATTTTATTACTTTGAGGGACGACGTAGTCGGGTGGTAGAGCGATCGACTGCTAGCCTGAAGTATCTGGGTCCAGACTCTGTATTGCAGGAATTCCCAGATTCCACCCTGCTCTGATAGGTACCTGAATCATGTTAGGGAACATACATGCGGTTGATCAAGAAACGTACGAACTCTACTTTACCTACCATCTGGATCTTTATGTTTGAAGGAGGCATTTTGTTATAATTAATTTATAATAACAAATAATGCGTATACCTTTCTATTGGTAGAAAACTGGGTTTCTGGTCCCACATTGCTGGGCCTCTGGCTGTAGCCCTGTCAGCTCCCCACCGTAGCAGTCAAAGATGTGAACTATTCATTATCTTTTCTTTTTGTGCCCAAGACACACGGCGCCCCCCACAGAAAGCTCCCTCCTCTTGTGTTGGTCACCGGCAATTTTCCTGGCAGTCCCCCATGACAGTGCTGCCTCTGCCAGCTGCTTCCCCGCCGAGCGCCTCCCTTGGCCTTCCCTTCTTTCTTTTTCCTTGAGGCGTCCCGTTTAGCGCCATTCCTGCGATGTCATCTGGATTCATTCTTTGGACGTGTCAGATCCATCGCCATCTTTTAAAAAAAATTATTTCGGAAACTATTAACCCACATTACTACCGTTTTATTGAGTATTTAATTGCCGGCCACGATACAGTTTCCACTTTGTCAGAAAATTGCTATAGTATTACATTCACTTAAATAAAAGATCTCAGTCAAGAAATGATAATTTTAAACAACTATTATTTTGTAACGAAAATAATGTATAGTTATTTCTCTACTTTCGCGTGAAATTTGAAAGCTAAGGTTTTGTTGTCATCGATTCAGCTCTTGAAACCACAGTAGAGAGAAACGATCTACGACTAGAAGGCTATAATTTATCGTTCACCAAAATCAAAGAGCAAAGGACAAAAATATACTTTTATTTAGTAAATAAAAAATAATTATATTATACCCTGTTTTGGCCGGCTTGTAACGAAATACTGGAAACCACAAATTGTATAATCGATGATAATTATCTTATTTTTTAAAGAATTCCGTTTGTAGAATGTAATGGTTAAAAAACAATGTAAACCATTCATTTTAAAAAATGGTATATACAAGTGTATACATTGTGTTTTTGTTTTTGACTAGTAAATGTATTACTAGACTGAAGATAGCTAGATCTATTGCCCTTAGCATCAACCAAACTTAGCGAGGCTGCTATTGGGAAAAAATATTAGAGCGAACTGAGCTCATACACAATAGTGATACACAATTTTACTAAATTGTTTAGCACAGTTTTATATGTAGTCAAGACAATATAGCATAAGTAATGAATCTTGAGATCATATCCAAGTTAATTTTACTGTAAACAATTGGATGGTTTTTTTTCAAAGATAATATATAGGTAACATATTACACAATTTGTATTTGTTAAAGCTAAAACGCAATACATTCGTTTACGAATCATGAGTTCAGTGATGAAATCAACGGCGGGTTTGGAGAGTTTTATCTCACCATTCACACTAGCAACCACGCCCAGCGACAGACCCAGGGAACTTTTCGTCCCGACCCTCTGGGTCAACCTCCTCGCATACGTCGTCGACGTCTGGCTCTGCCTGGCCGTCTGCCTGTTCGGCGTCGTCACCAACATCCTCAGCATCCGGGTCTTCGTCCGCATGGGCTTCGCCGACACCGTCAACGTTACCATGACAACCATCTCCTTCTGGGACCTCGTCCGCGTCCTTGCCGGAGCCGTCACGGACCGATTTCTTTGTTTTTTCCGGCGTTCGGAAAATCCTGGCAGAACATCTGCATCACCAATCTAAACCACCTCCACTTTATGTTAGGAAATATGCCCTATGTACTCGGTTTTTACGTGGCTGTAGAACGATTTTTTTTTTTTTTTTTTTTGCATTATTTAATTATTCATGTCCCTGACAGGAGGGATCCAAAATAAAATGATGTGTCTGCATCAGTCAACCATTCAAAGTCAAATCAATGATATTTTCGGGACTTTATCACCTTATATACTTAGGTGCATCGAATTTTTTATATCCTGCATGAAAAAATTAAAATTAAGACACTTCTGGTGTAAAAAAAAAGTTATAATTGAACCACAGTATTTAACCCTTTATCTACTGACGGTACTTTTAACTATCACTTTAATTAAGCGCTTGTATTATTTTTAATTTAATACGAATTTTAAAAATT